TACCGATAAAACAGTATTATACAAGATGGACAATTAAAAAAAACCCGGTTTGATATTTTGTATCATCGACAAATCAGTATCGTTCTGAAAAAAGTTCATCACTTCTTTCTTTCAAAATCGAGAAAAACATCCTAAAAATGTACTTATTGTATATCTTAAACTTACGGCGGCACAGGCTATATGAAAACAGATAGCTCACTCGGTCGAGAACAAAGGAAATTTTTAAAAAGACTGACAAGGGCTTCGTAAAAGTATCAGTGTATATAATTTTAGACGAGTTTTACCATTTATTCCTGGTTTATTTTTTTTAATTAAGATAATATGTCAGCATAATATTGCATGCTCCTTACCAGTTAGTTACCTTAAGTGTATATACAATATTTAATGATGTCAGATTTTATTATGTATAGTAACAATAATACGATAAACGATAATATAATATGTAATGAATAGACGACGATTTTTTTTTACATTATAATTACCATTGTTTTTAATTTTAAATTTAATTGGATTTATTATTTGTTACTTTTCTTCATATAAGAAGTTTTGCTATGTCCTTTGGTAAAAGTATATCTTGTGGAAATCCAAGTCGTAACTGTTGTACTGTATCGTTTATGTTAACTAACAATAAGCTTATTTTTCTGTATTACTTTTATCTTTCAGGATACAAGTACCATCAGTTGAATCAATCTCAAGTTCTTTTGTGTATGATTTTGAAAATTGTCTACTTATGTATAATCCTATCGAAGGACACATCCGTAATAAAGTGCCATCATTATCTACATACTGCACAGATCCCTCTAAAAATTATAATTTGTATAATTTGCTTACTACTTACTACTTTTTTTTTTAAGGGGCAAGACACAACTATTGTATTTGTTAATACAAAGTCATAAAAAAATATTGCAATATATACGAAATTCAACAAATGTATTCTATACTTGAAATTCCAAATAATTAATTACACATTTTTACTTTAGAATAACACTTACAGGGTTTTTAGAATTTCATAGCCGACCTGATTTATTGACGCTTCTCTAAAATGGTAAAAGAACGACTTATGTGCACCTGTGTATACAAATATTAAAACAAACTAGAAATGTCTTATGCCAATAGATTGTAGAATAGTAAATGAATTTTGTCTTAAAAGTACTGCAATAACACAGGGTGTGATGTTATACAGTCGAGTCAAACAGTATAACTTAACTGTTGAATATTATACTTGTTAATGTATGATAATATACCTATATAATGAATATCAAGATTATTCTTTTACTTAGTCTAGCAGCGTATGTTTCGTAAGTATTTTTTTTGACATTTTCATGTCTTAGCTCTGGCACATAACCGAAAAAAGCGTTACCATAAAAGCGTTACCAAAAGAGCGTAACGAAAAAAGCGAAAGGGTTGAAGATGAGGTGGGTATGGGAAAGGGGTGGAATTAGCTATGGCAAATAACCGAAAAAAGCGTTACCAAAAGAGCGTTACCACACGAAGATGGGTTGGAGGTGGAAATAGAGGTAGGAGATAAGAAGTGGGGTGGAAATAGGGGTAGGAGATAAGGGGTGGGGGTGGGATAGGGTTGGGGTTGGGGACAGGAGATAGGGGTGGGATATAGGGGTAGGGATAGGGGTAAGATATAGGAGATAAGAGATATGATGTACGTTCAACGTTCAAATTAGAACTAAATAATAAATTCAAAACAGTTTAATTCTCTATATTAAACGTTAAGTTACTTTTGGCCAGATAATAAACACTACAATTTTAGCCAGAAACATGATTGTACATAATTTTTTAATCTCCTTGGCTTATGCTGTAACTGGTAGCTCCATGTAATTTTTTTTTTTTAAATTATAATTCCACAACTAATCTATATTTATTCGGTACTTCAACGGGACATGAAAATGCTCTTTCGTGGTTGCAGACTCGGCTGAAAAACTTTTTAAACATTATTTCTGGCTTAAAACTTGCATAAAAAATACAACCAAACCGAGAGTTTTGGTTTTTAAAATATAATTTTCAAAATTAACGTTTACTTTTCAGGTGTGGCAAAAATAAATCAACGGAAGAAGGTAATTAAATAGAATTTAGTTGGTAGTTTGAAAAAAAAAACATTTAAAATAAATTTAATTTAAAAATGTTATAAGCTACTTAACGGGTTTACTACCTGAAACAGGACTGGGCATTGTTTGAAAATAACACGTTATTTGTTTAAGCAGACAATTATCTAATGTATTTAACTACATTTTTTATGTATAATCACCTAATAATATGTAAAAAACCCTAAAACGTTGGTTTGACTAATAATAATTAGTGTTTATTGTTTTCATTTGCACCAGCACGAAATAATAAAAAACTAAAAACTCAAGTAGATTCTGAAGAAAAAACTGCAGCTGAACTGAAATTTGTAGCCGGACTGAAAATTGAAAAAGCGTCGAATCGAATTAAAATTTGTAAAAAATATTATTAGGTACGCTCCACTAGTCTCAAAATTAGTTTTCAATATTGTTTGTTACAAAAATTGTTTTGATACTTTTGTATTAAATTAAAGTTAGAATCGTAACTTAATCATTTGAGTTAAATTGATTCAATTTAAACTGTTTTTTAGCACAAAAATGTATACATTAAACTACTTTGTAAATGACTGAGTATAAAGTTCTATTACTCTACAATTATCTTAAGTTTTTATGATATAAGAAATCCCTGATTATTGGTATTTTGTACTTAGTCGAAAAGGTACTTTATTTTGCTAATCCCTGATTATAGTAATCAATAAAATAATGTTAATTTTAATTTTTTAAATCGGGTAATTAAACATTAAGAGGGCGTCACACATCCGTTATTTTCTTCAAAAAACCAGCCTTGCGCGGATTAATTTTACAAAAGCTATAATCAAAACTAAGAAACCAAATTTTAACATAATTAAGACAACAACATTGTCTGTGTTCTATCATGGCCCTTTTTTTTAGTATTCCAACCAGTTAATAAATAGTTAATTAATTAATAAAGGACTTTTTTAAAAATTATATAGCTTCGGTTGTATTTTAGGAATATCGAAAAATACGGATACTGGAGTACAGATAATTTTGTTATATAATAGAATCGCTGTCAATGATGCTGTGATAGTCCAAAAAAAAAATTTAACTACCAAAAAACGAGTCCTAATTACTGGACTAATAGTAACACATCACAGTTAAACCTTTAAGTTAAGATTTTGTAAAAAATTGCCTATACTTTACTCCTTAAAAATGAGCGATATGGCGTCCTCTTAAAGATGTAATAATGCGACGTGTAATTGGCATACTTGCCACTACCTTTATAATATTTTCTAAATTCATTTTAAAAAAAATAACGACCACTTTATAGGTTTAATTTTCTTTTAGAATCCGTGTAGTACATTTTTTGTTTTGTTTTTGGTAAAAAAAATTCAAATTTAACTTTGTATTGATAAACAATTTTCAGATTGTAGAAGATGCGTTCCATGATTGTATGAAATGGGTCATTTGGTACGAAAATTCCATACCTCATTGTATGGCAACGTGGTATTTTATCACGTACATGGGTAATACTGAAAAAGATGAAACTATCGCGAAAAAGTACATAGAACGTAAAGATCGCCTCTTGGCTAAAAGCATGAAAAAAGAATGTAAACATTTACTACACACGTTACATATAATTTAATCATATTTTTTTTATCTTCGACGTGAAACTGTAAAACAGTTGGTTTAAAGGAAATTATTTTCGTTGGATTTATAAAAATTAAAATATGTATCTTTTTTAAATGTTTTAACAACTCGCCTTATTAATTATTTGATGTTATCAAAGTTTAGACAAATATAAATTTATCATTACTAATGCAATACCTTTACAGCTGCATATCGAAGCTAAAATACACTGTTTCATCGACAACTGCACCACATCATGTCATTATTATAATATACTACATGTCACTACATATATTATTTCGATTTTAATTTAAAATGTTTGTTTTATTTAGGTTGGGTAGATTTGCAAGTATTTGGTAAACTTTTCAAACACCATTGCAAACACTATAAATTACCCATTAAAGATTGCGCTAAACTAAGGAAGACGCAGCCGAAGTAGTGATGAGAAATGAGACAGAAAGCGACGAGATATAGGAAACACCTAAAACTGAAATACCCTTATTACAATTTCCCTTTTTAATTTTTATTATAATAACAATATAACTTTTTTTTTTAAATATTCATATAATAAATAAACTAATACAATAACAATATTTTCTATATTATCTAGTCTAATAGTATTTTAAAATGTTATTAAAATAATGTTTCAAAATACAATACTTCTTAATGACTTTTATGACTCCAAAATCGCTGTTTCTTTTTTTAAATAAACACCGATTACTTACATGTTGTGCAATATTATTTTTTATTTATAAGAAAAAATAAAATCTCTTTTCTCGAGGTAACTGTAACAACTATATTATAGTAATTGTATGATAATCTGTGGATACTGGACCCCACTTTGGTAATTTCTTACTGTACTAGTTTACACTTTGAACTGTACTTAGTTTATACTGAATTGGTATAGACAGAACTGGATTTATACTCTACTGGTTTAAGCTGTACTGATTTAGACTGTACTAGGTTGTACTATAATATATAACGATTCGCATTGAAGCTTTCGAAAGTGGTTAAATAATTTTTAAATTAATTACCCTCATTGACTACTATGATAATTCATAATTGAGCTTTGTTTATACTGTACTAGTTTGGACGACACTGGCTTTTTTATGCATACAATTTTATGCACTACAAGAAATCGCGACTAATGTAAAATTTTCAAAAATGTACCTGTGCTGTTATAAAGTAGCTACTCAAATACGTTATTGTTATTATTATTATTATTATTATCTTCTAATAAAACAATACATTTTCATTGAAATCAGATTGTTATTTTAAAACAACCAATACATATTATATAAATAAATGTTTTATCCAAGCATAATATACAAACCTCTTTCGTTGTTATAGTAAATTATTGTCTGTGTTTATTTTATATGGTCAACCTAACCTAACCGTTGGGTTTTCATCGATCCGTTGTAAGCCTTATTTCAAAGGCATTTTTAGTCATTTTTTTCCATTATCGCCGACTAGGTATAAAATGGAAATTAAAAATTATCCGCTACATAGAAAAACACAAATATTTGTCGTTTTCCCTCTCCGGTCGGGTAAATACTATATTTAAAATGTAATTTTTTCAGGAGACCATCGTCAACAATCCAGGACACGGCCAACGTCGTTATCTATGTGGAAGCCGGTGACGCAGTCGATAACATCGACCACAAGGGCGATGTCGTCATTTTCGTCGAGGCCGTAGAAGCGGGTACCGATACCGCGGCCGTTACTGGAAATGATGCCGCAGTTGTAACTAGGCGGGCAGTTCGCCGCTTCCAGCGCGACCGTTACTATCTGCGGCCAAGACGTAACCGGTACAACTTTCGACCACGACCTATGATAAACTATAGCATTGAGTATGTACTCAATGACTATAGTCAATGATTAATTGATATTATTGCCATTTATTTATATAATATGTCACATTTTGTTAACGACAATAGAGAAACATATGCGAGACAATGAAATACGGGTGTAATGGGGTTTGAGTTGGGAATCGTCTGGGGGAATTATTTTTGTAATTGTTTCTTGTATATTTGTGTCTTTCCTTAACCCCCGCGTTGAAAAACGCCGCGGACGATTACCAACTTGAACCGTTACACCTGTATTTCATTGCCCCTTGCATATGTTTCTCTATTGTCGTATAATTTGTAATTATTTGTGTTTTTATTATTTTTTGCAATTATTTTTGTTGCTTACAAATCAAAAGTGAATATGTATATAATTTCTTCCAAGTATATAATTGTTTGATAAATGAAACGTCAGCCATGTTTTTCATTGTTTCCTAATGCATAACACAAACAAATTTACAGTGTAATTAAAACCGAAAAATTACATGAGTATTCGACAAGCGCACTAAAATCTACTGAATACATATTACTTTGAGCGTTGTGCTTTGCCATAGATAACCTAACCTGACCGGTGTACCATCAGTGTTACAATTATTACAGAATAAAAAAAATGTAATGTATTTTGTCACGAGAGCAACGGATTTTAATTTACAAAAATATTAAATATGTGAAACCGGAAACGCTCTGCCTAATGAATATATTATTTTTTTTTTAATATTTATTTTAATATATAATTGTCAATATGTAATACGGCGATTTGTATAGGCAATTTTGATTCGTTCATGTAATTAGGTGTTTTGCTGAATTATAGTTTACACGTTTTAAATTATAATGTTAAGGCATTGATAGGCTAATATATATCAATTTAAAGTAACAACTAATAATCTCATATAGTTGTTAACCCTTTTTGGTCTTTGCTAAACTTTAGCGAACTACCATTTTTAGCAGTTTAATTATAATAATAACCGTAATTTAAATGTGTATGTATATATATATATAAAAATCTTAACTGCGAATCAGCTTAGTGCAAAATCTCATAGCCAAAACCTTATTTAATCTAATTTGTTAGAGATTTTTACATAGATTTTCAGTTGATTAGTTTTACAACATAATAGAACAAATATTTTACATCTCATGCTAGTTTTTTTCAGTTTAAATTGTAAGCTGTAAATATGTACTAATTTTATTTCTAATTAAACATGATATTACACGTTAATAGGCAATTTTCAATTTATGGTAAGTATATATTGTTTTCCCAAGTCGACTAAAAGATAATATTAAAGCGGTGTATTTAGCCACACACCGGCGGACATACCGGAATAATAGTTTCTGTGAACAAAAAAATGAATACATAATATTAATATATCTGAATAAAACGACTGTTTTTTTTACAATTATTTTACAGATTTTATTTTGGCATTAAAAATGTAATTTGAATTCTTATAATTGTCAATAAACGAGTGCAGAATAATAGTGTACAGAATAGTGTGATAAAAAAACAATTAAAATTTTAAAAAAAATACTATAATAATACAACTAATAATACGATTGCTAATTGTTTATGCTTAATACTTTTTTTCCATTTTGTAAAGTACCTTTTCTCCAGAAGATTTATTGGAGGAACCAATATTTCTGTAAAAAAAAAAGACTAATTTCAAATCCAATAGAACTCCACAATGCTTGCTTTCAGTTTGATTGTTTATTCTCGACTTTTTATACAAGGTATTTTTACAGCTCATCCATATGTGATTATGATATTGCCTAAGCTAATATTCTTAAGCTATGTACGAAATTTCAAAAATAAGACAAGTGAAAATATTAACATAAAGTATAGAACAATTAAAAATAATGGTATGTTATACCTGTAGTTGTTTTAGAAATGTTTATATGTATTTATTAGATTATGTCCAATGGCACAGTTCTTGTTAGCCTTCTTGTAAAATGTTCTATATTTTACTTCTAGTTGGATTGCTGAAAAGAAAATAAGTGATTTTTGTTGTGATTAAACAAAAAACAATTTTTATAAAAAATAATGCTATAATAATAGCCGAGTAGTGATATACAAAAATTATAAACAATACAAATATATAAATTTTACACATACTAGATACTTAATAGATATTTGAATAAAATGTAATGGCTACCAATGGAAAAATTATTATTACAGTTCTGTTAAGTCGTCTTCATCTTCCGAAGTGTTTCTTTTTTGTTTACCCCCTTTTCCACATGCATTCATAGGTTTGTGTTTTGTTGTGACTTTTGGTAGTTTTGCTAATCGATTGTACGAAACTTTCCTCATATCCGAGTGTGTTTCCTGGAAAACAAAATTCTTATATAGATAAATAGTATGTTAAAATATTACGGTTAATTTTTTAACGGAAGAATTATTTCCCATTTCAGTTTCGTCTAGAGTTAGCATACTGAAAACTCTCTATTCCGCACCCATTTATTGGAAATTATCACGGAGTAAAAGGCTTAAGCAATTGTACAGAAAAAAAAATACCAACCGTCGTGTAACTCACTTTTAAAATTGCCCGTTTGATTCCTATGGCTTTAAAGTAAATGGGCGCTTTGATTTGCTGCCGTATCCGCTCCAACAGCAACGGCTGCATCGACCGTGCTAGTTCTTGAGACAATTGCACTCCTTGAACAATGTTGTATTTTGAAGGTTTGGCATTGTGTATTTCGTTCATTGCACACACACATGATACGCAACATGCGATTTTCACACCGGCAAACGCTATCAACTTCTCGGTGGTGGGTCCAAAACAAGTAACACATTTAATTCGTGGACACGATTCACCCGAAAACTGATAATATGAGTCTTGTGAAATACTTTGCTCCAACGCTTTTTTCGTTATTGAACTCTTTTTCGATACAGTTATGGAGCTGTTCAATACTTCGTAATCGGGAAATTCCATTTTCAATAATTTATCATCATCATAGATCTCGTCTTGCGATTCCGAATCATCTGTGGTATCTTCTTCGTCCTCTTCCGAGTCACAATCGCTCTCGAAAGATTCATACGTACCGTCATTGCGTTTGATGACCAATTTTCCACTTTCGCCTTGAACTATTTCAGATTTATCATCGCACAATGTCATGGTCGCATTTATAGTCTCGGAATCGAGTTTGTCCCGGTGAGACTCCAAAAACAGCTCAATTGCATTGGAAAACATTGTTGACCATTGTTGTGGACAGTACAAGTTTTGGCAATTGTCGGTATATACCGCTGGTGCAATCGCATTTGAAATTACATGTTGTAAACAAACCATAAATCTCTGTTGCGCATCTTCAGATAAAGTGTATTTAGGAATTTCAGAACCTATAAGCGTGATTCCCATTAAATTAATAAGAGAAGAAGTCACCAATTTAGAAATTGCCGTGATCACCGAGGGAGTACAAATCAACCCAACAATGGGCTTTAGAGTTATCAAATTTTTGGTTTGAGCATAGCCATCGATGAGTTTACCGTGTATTGTTTCAACATACCAAGTTATTCCGTTACTGAACAAATGAAATGCCAAACTACGACATTGCCATATTATTAACTCATTTACAAGGCATCTCAAGTCCTCACTGACTTGACTCTCGTTCTTAATCCAATGATTTTCATAAAACAGCTTAAAAACTTCGTTTCGAGATAATAGGCAATTTGCTCTTTCCATAGCCTCATATCTCGTAAGCTGACATCTAGTTTGTTTATATCGGTTTTCCATTATGTTGTGAATATCTCGCAAACTTTTGTGTATTTTGAGCATCGTGTGGTGACACATATAGTGATGCACGCCACATTCTTTCATGAATATATTCCAAATAAAAAATGCACTCTTATTGACATTTGATGAGTTATTTAAGGATGCGATTACTTTGTCATTTTGTATATTTTTAGACGCTTGTTCTTTGTTATTCACATCATGTATTATTTCAGTAAAATGTTGTTTTATAAAAAGCATACATTCTGCCGATATACAGTCATTAATGTTAAAATTTGCATAAGACGCGATAGAGTCCTTCAAATATTTATTGGATAAGAGCTTCCATCCATGGGCGAGAAGCGATTTTGCACGGTCCCTCTTAGCATTGTCATCCCAATCACACAAATCTTGAGTTGACAAACGCCAATAGTTGAAAGTCAGGGCCTCCAGTTCACCTTCAACCAAAGGCACCGTTTCATATGGTTTGTTAGAGTTTGCGTATTTTGCGTCTCGTTTCTCTCTGATATTTTTGACATTTAAATTGTATTCGTTTAGACGGAATTTGAGAAAATACACTGCACAGTCAGTCATTTCTTCAGGAACGACTCCGTATAACAGATAATAGCAAAGCAAATCTGTCGATGCATTGTTTATCATTTTAGGTATAAATTTACAATCGCTTATTTCGCTCGACATGTGTTTTAACATATCGCCAAACTTGTGTGGGGCCAAACGCAATCCTTCTGGCATTGACGATAAACCGCGTAACGGAATCAACTTCAAGTTTTCCGGGTATAAATAACGTTTGTTGTATCTAGAATCATCTATTACTTCAAAATTATAATCTTTCTGAGACGTAAATTGTATAATAGGAATGGGGATAGATTTTCCTTTGACATTGTGTACAGGCGGTTGAAACGTGTCAAGTTGTTTTTTAATACGCTTGGGGAGAACAGTTTTTCTAGGTGCCTCACTAAAAGAGGTAGCTGGTTTTACTATAACTTTTGATATAACCGCATAGTTTGATGTACATTTCCGTTTGGGATTATCGCATAGAGTGTGGAATGAAAATTCGATTTCGTTATTAGATACATCGCCATCAATAGTCGAACTCTCATCACTATTGATTCTAGTGTTTCCGTTGCGGCTCTGGAACATGACATTGATCTTTTTATCACGTGATGATGGTGTTGAATGTTTCGTATTGTTAGATACATCTTTATTCGGTTTTAACGACGAAAAAACTTTTTTGGTTGATTTTCCCTCTTCTTCGTTTGATGATGACGACAAAGAAGAACTTGACAAAGATGATGACAATGATTCAGTTTTGACAAATTTAAACGATTTTGGATCTTTTTTTACGACTACTGGCTTACCTATATATTGTTTCTTCGCATTAATATAGTTTCGTGTAGTCTGATGGGATGTCATCTTTCGTTTCCTCGGCCTCGTGAATATTTTTTTGCCAGCACTCGCCGATTGCATATATGCACAGCGGTCTTGAATGGAAATATTCATTGAATCATACGACGGCGAGCAATCGACAACGTTCAGCCCTTTATTCACTTTATTTACATTTTTTTTTTCAATATCAACTCCAAATGAAGGTATAATACTCACATGGTTATGGTTGTCGGTGTCGTTTAAAAATTGATCAAGACTATTGAGCATATCGTCCGATGTACTATCATATGTTGCTATAGCATTATTATTGTATTGAATTTCCTCGTGGTCTACCAATGTGGCATTATCATATTCAATGGCTTTATTGTCATTGTTATTCGGGTCGTCTATTAAAGGAGATGCATTTGCCAATTGCAAGAGTCTGAGTTGACTGTTAAAATCTAGTGGAGTGTCATAAGGAACAATGTAACTTTCGGCAGTTAACATATTTTCATATGATCTTTTGTCCATAATTTGGCACTAGTCAATTAATAATAATCTGGTCAATGCCATATTATATTTAGTTAAAATTAATGTGTTTTCAAATGAAATCAAACTTTTATTAAAGTTATTTATTGTTATTATTAATAAATAACTTACTAATAATTATGTCGAAACAATAAAAAAAATAATACTCAAGTGTTGACAGATGAAAATTATTGAAATCTTGTGACATTACTCGAAAATCCTTGTTTTTCTCGTCAGTCGACCTAGAATACCTCGGAATTCCTGCAACTTTTTTTCAATTTATAAATGTATAAATAATTTAAAAAACCTACTTAGGTACATAGGTATCATAATGTATATATAATTACTGATTAAATATACTTAATACTTATATGTTGATGACTAACTTATTGATAATAATAAATATATTTTCATTTTTCATTATCTATTGACTTTTGATTCACTCACGCATATCAACTTGGAAATTGACTACGGTCAAAATGTAATTTTTCCATATTTTTTAGGGGGTTTCCTTAATAAAAAGCAAGTTGACTTCAGATTTTTGAGAAAATTGTCCTCGAGGAGAGGGTTTATGATGTTTTTTAATTTGTCAATGTTTATAGGTAGTTAAAGAATATTCCATACAAATTGGAACTAAATCGACTATTTTTCAAAAAAGTCATAAATCTTTTTCTCGATTTTGAAAGGAGTGGTGAATTTTTTAATTTTTGGACAAGTAAAGTAGCTTTTATATAAGATTTTTGATCAATTGAGTTGCAACAAAAAGAAACCGATGCAGTGGTTTAAAAGATATCGTGGGTCCAGACGGTTAAATAAAAACACATCATTGTATAAACAACACTTTCTTAGCTCCGCATCGATGCTAATAATATGTACAAATGTAATCTTTAATTACTATTTTGTTTGTCCAATATGGTTAGCGGCGATATTAATTTTGCATACATATTGGTACTGTATTTTTTAAATAGTGTTTAAATTAATTATGTACTCCTAAATAATAACTAATAGTATGCTAGTAATGAGTCCTAAATCATCAATTATGTTAACGTTAATACGTTGACCATATTTTGATTAGGCATAGTCGAATTTGAAAATAATTGAATTGTGTCATTCTTTTTTTAAATTGCATTATCGACTAGTAGTGCCACTTAACTTGAATTTTATGGATAAATCAGTAGAATTATAATAAATTGTAACATTTTTAGCTCTTAATGACTTAGAAATACTTTATATACATAAATTGTAATTTAGTTTTAAATATTGTTCATTCAAGCGTTCCGTTGGCTAATATGTTTAATTTTAAGGAATTAATAATTACAATACAATAAAAACTTACAAGAGCATTACCATAATTATAATGTGAATTTTTTTATTATTTAAAAACATAATATAATATTGTATGACATGACACTTGCGACCATACTCTGTTGGACATGTACATTTTATTATGATAAGTTGAATAGTTTTAATAAGTGGTAAACCTTTTATGAAAATCAAAAAATTCTTATTAAATGTAAAAATAATATAGGTGTGTAATACTAATGATTAATATATTATCTGAAGATACAGTTATCAATAACATTCATACAATTTAACATCGTTATAGTCATGGAACAATTTTATTAACAAATCACAATGTACCTAAACTAGCGATAATTGTTACTACAAATTACAATTTCCCCATAAACGTTGTAATCCTCGATTGGCATTTGCTTAAGTAATCACTTGATATTACTTATCGCACATATATTATTGTAGCGGTAGCAGTTCTATATTATATATTATGCAGTTGCAGTTATTTCCCTTCGTTAGACACACGAGCGCTAAGCATATTATCGATGAAGTTTGATCCACAAAAGATAAAAACGTAATCAACTCATTGATAAACAGGAATCAAACACTAAGGCGCCGGCATGGTCTGCATCATCTCACACGTAATAACACAGTTAATATAATAAATAAGTATAATTAAGTAATGTAAAAAAAAAATAATTACATACATTTATAATACGTTATGTTATTGAAAAAACAACAGGGAAAAAACAATGTATCCAATGCACTTTGTAGTGACCTTTGGTAATCTTTGCACTTTTATAACAAAAACCGTCATCGAAAATTATGAAAACAATACCACAAATTAGTATCTATAATTATGTCCATTTAAAGAATTAACATTACATGAAACAATCAAAGGTTACTCAGATCTACACAAATTATTGTTCAAAAATGTTTAAAAAATTATTTTATACCTAATATTTTCTAATTGATAAACAATTTTCAGATTTATCCATGTTTTCAGTTTTTTACTGACGTTTTGATCTCATTTAAGAGTCCATCTTATGAAAGGGACCAAGTCCACTTTTCCTATTTTTTAGAAAAGACAAAAAAACTAAATAACTTATCAACTTAATCGTTAAAGTTTCGAAATGTTTGTACTAAATTTAAGTGAATTTACCTCAAATTGTTTACCTCAAATAATAAATTTAAGTCACGGACTTGTCTTCTTTCTGAAGAAAACATTATCATGGCTACTTTATTGATATAAAAAGGGGGAAATATTATCAAATAACTTAAAATATTATTTTTATTCATCACTTTTTACCAAATGTTATCATTTTGTGTCCCTTAAATTAAAAAATTAAATAATATCTATAAAAAATATTTACATAAAAATATAGATCTGAAATCGTATACGGTTGGTACTTTGATGGGCCAAAAATTGAAAAAGTCAACTTCTCCACCTTCGAAACCGGGAAAAAATGTTGACGGTTATTTAACTTGCTATGACTTAGCGAAAAACGGTTGGATTTAGTCAAAAATTATGTCAAATATTCTCATTAGGAATGCCCCTATTCGCAAATAGGCTCAAATCCAAATATTTTAATAAACCACACCATCCCTGCAAGACTCGATGTTTTTTCGTTTTATTTTTTTAGGTGCAGTTTTAAGACTTCAAAGATAAAATTAGACTGGAAATAGGTTTATTATATACCTTAATCTATTATATATACTTAAAAAAATCGAACGCATCATTGTATTTACAATGATGTGTTTTTATTATTTTTTTGTTTTATGTCTGGACCCACGATATGTTTATCTTTGTTTTGAGATGTTTTATCTTTTAAACGGGCTAAACCGATTACTTCGTGAAGTTACTCTATACATCAGAAATTGGCCCAAAAATTAAAAAAAGTCACCCCTTCTCATTCAAAACCGAGAAAAATACCCAAAAAATATACATAATTTTCAAATAAAAATAACGATGCTCTATAACTTTTAAAAAAAATAGTCGAATTAGTTTCAAATTTGTATTGAATATTCTTTGAACATAGTACTACCGATTAACATTAACTAACCAAAAAAATATCATAAAACTTTTCCTCTAAAAGAGATGGACATTTTTACTTTATTTCTCTTTTTCAAGCAAAGTTAGGGATTAAAGTCTGAAAAATAGACCGGTGGTAATCTAGAATGGAACTATAGTATGTACAATTTTCTCAAAAATCTGTAGTCAAATTGTTGGGGGTTTTTTAATAATAAATAAAAAAAAGTGTAACACTGTTTTTTTGAGAAAATTATGCATTATAGTCCTACTTTAGGTTTACTTTCAGTCTAAATTTCAGACTTAAAGGCCTAAAACTACGCCCAAAAAATAGAAATAAAAAAAAATATTCCACCACTTCTAGAGGAAAATGTTCTTGATAAATTGGAAAAAAAGTAAATAATTAGCAGTAGTATTATTAATTTCAAGCACGTAAATCAGACAAATAGTACTTATTTGTTAAATTATAAGTTTTTCTAAACTTTATTTTGACAATAGTCAATATGATTTAGTAATATATCATGCAACTTACCTCTGAAAACTTTGATGATGTCAAGATGTTACCCGGAATCGTACACAATTTCGAATGAAAGTTTCACATCAGTTTTCTTTATATATGCTCATATAATTTTTTGATAATGTAGTATTAACGCAAATGCTTGATTTATTTATTTCAGTCTAATTATCAAGTCTTAATATAATACAACATCATATTAAGCTGATAACAAATGCTAACTAAGCAATGATCGTACCTGATATTCGAAGTTCTTATTATAATAAATTGGGCTTTATATTTTTTTTAATCATATGCTAAATAGTGTGCAAACCAAAATTTAATTAAGTATATCATTTTAATTATATTTTACAGATAGGTGCCACTTAAATAACCAATATTATTATAAAACTCTATTTCTTGTATTATTGAGCTTTAATATTTGATCTGTACAAAAATTTTTATCTAACTATAGTTGGTTCTTATTATTCTAAGTTTAATTTCTTTAAACAGAATATTATTTAAAAGAAAAATTAAACACCTATATCTATATTACCTAAATATTATGCACGGTGATTTTTTTATCATGGGCCACTCAATATCTCACTGGGTTTAACTAATAATTAAATTTTTTTTTCATAGTTTTTTTATATAATGTGATCTCAATTTTTGAATTATTTTTAAAGTTATAAGAGTTTAAAAGTTAGGACAGGAAAGGAAGTGCGGTTGGATGAAAATAATACTACATTCCACCTTTCCTCCTACCCTAAGTTTGAAACTTCATAACTTCAAAAATAGTTATCCAAAACTGGTTATCGACCAGTCAAAATTGTTAATACATTATTTTCAATTTACAAAGTTAATAAAATAATATATACGTTACCATTCAAATTTCAAAATTAGCTATCAAAAAACTTATTTGGGAGAGGGGTAGAAACATAATAATTTGTGGAAAATTGAGATCACATTATATAAAAAAAACTATGAAAAAAAAAATTAAATTATTAATTTAACTCAGTGAGATATTGAGTGGCCTGTGATAAAAAAACATCACCCTATATTATGTTTGGTTTGAAGAACACGCGATAACACAAGTTATCAGTATGTGTATATTTTTATTCTCTCACTGCGTTAGAAAATAAAAATAGGAAAAAACAATATTAATACTGTTACAGTTATGGTAGGAGCGAGAAATGACACAACTATAAAACTAAGCAATAAATCTAGGTCAAACAGCAAACGGTAAAATGGCTAATACAGCGAAAATTATAATTATTTAAACCCACACAAATCGCTGTACTCTCTTGGGCTAGATTAGGTTAGGTTAGTGTCCGGGAAATTATTAGTTTCTCCCGTCTAACAATTTCAACAATTTGTTTTATTGCCTTTGTGTTAATTATTATACTATTGCCATTTTTGTATCGAATAATTATAGAGTTTGTTTTTATTTCATTTTAAAAGTGTTACCTTTTGCTTTTGGTGAAGTAAGTACAATAAGTTTTATACTTATTCAACGATGTGGGAAATAGTCACTAAACGCCATAAAGCTATGTGCAGAAATAGTCACTGACTCACCTAAGATTATATTTTAGCTCGAAATTGACAATATGTACAGTACAGTATTGTTGAAATTAATAACAATATAACTATAATTAAACAATAACTATGGTAATTTAATTTAAAGTTGAAAAAGTGTACTTACACACACACAAAAAAAAAAGAGAATAATTATAAACAAGAAATGAAGCCATCGAAGAATGGGACGTATAAGAGCACAGTATAAGGCTTTGAGAGAGGTAGCAAGGCGAAACTCAAGCAACGCACGGTTTAAGAACCCGAGGAGTTTAAATGCCTTTCAGCATAATATGTCTTCGATATGCTTAAAGGGGTGCAACAGTCCTAAACAGGTTGACTTTTATTTACAATTTACATAATATCACATAGGGTTTTATAAGAAATTAATTTTTTTTTAACATTGTACTTATACAATGTGATCTCAATATTGTTCACAATTTTTCTTGTTTTTACCCCCTCTCTGAACTTAGTTTTTTTGACAGCAACTTTTGAATTTAAAATAGTAACGTAAACATTTTATTAAATTGCGAATAGTGTACTAAAAATGTTGACTGGTCAATTACCAGTTTCGGATAACTATTTTTGAAGTTATTGAAGGTTCAAGTTTAGGGCAGGAGGTAAAGTGGAGTGTAGTTTTATTTTTATCTGCGCGCATTTCCGAACCGTTTTTCCCCCCCCATCCTAACTTTTAAACTCTTATAACTCTAAAAATAGTTGTCCAAAACTGGTTATCAACAAGTCAATATTTTTAGTACATTATTCTTAATTTAAAAAGTTAATGAAATATATGCGTTAACATAAAGTTTCAAAAGTTGCTATCAAAATAACTAAGTTTGGAGGCGGGTAAAAACAAAAAAAGTTGTGAAAAAATGAGATCACATTGTATAAAGACAATATGAAAAAAAAAAAATTTCTTATAAAACCTATAGGATATTGAGTGGCCTATGATCAAAAAAATCACCCTGACAATTTTTTGTTATTTTCCTATTAAATATACTACCGTCTACTTAGAAAACGCATTAGTAACTACCCTCTGAGATTGAAAAAAATGAGACAAGGGGTATAATACATAAGTACTTTTTTTTAAATAAAAACACTATAATTTTTAACATCTGTAACTATTTTTCATGGTTGATTTCAAATGTTAATTAAGTTTAATAACAAAATATTCACGGTAAAAATATGTATTTGACATAGATTGACCTTTTAATGTTCTATGTTATTCTACGATCTTAAATCGTTAAGATTTAATTTAATTGATATATTTTTTTATTGATTAAACTGAACCAGTCAGGCGGTATTATTTAATTGATATATTTTATTTAAACGTTCAACAGAGATAACAAAAACGACAGTACCCGTTTAATTAAAAATTATAACATTACAATTTAAATACATTGTACATAAGTACCTAGTATAGTAATTTATCCACTTACCAAATATTGGTTTAAATATAGGGTACCGGGTACCCTTTTTTTTCGTTTTCTTTTTTTAACGTCAGTACTTTTGATGCTAATTACGATTGGTGTAAAAATTTTGTTCCTTTTGCACTTAATTTAAAAGATTAAAAAGTTTACAAACGTTTAAAGGTTGTCCGTCATACTGATTACACATACCATAATAGGTACACAATACTACGGTTACTGCCCACGCATTAGGTTAGGTTAGGTTAGATTGCCTCTGCCCAGTGTTGCCAAGTTGGCTACAAGTTAGCTTTTATAGCTAAACCTAGCATAATATTTCAAACCACAAATAGCTAGTAAAAATACCAAAATATAGCATATTGCTTGAAAAATGGGGTTTTTTTTTTTTGGTAACTTGGGTACAAAATAATTTATAGGTATAATAGTTGTAAAGAAAAATTGAATTTAAAACAATTATTATTCAAAATTACAAAATATCCGCGATGATAACATAACTTAAAAAATGGTTCACTATTAAATTTCACTCTCAATTATTATTAATGTTAATATAGTTATTTGTTATTAAATTATAAAATGACCTTATTGGTTTCATTTAATATATATATTTTTTTAAAAATTAATTGAGTAAAATCTTGGTTTTTTACATTTTTATTTGTTTATAACTTGGTATTAAAAAGAAATGTTACAATTATTTTAAGCATTCAATTTTTGTATTAGTCTATAAAAAAAATATAAAAATAATTATATTCATACCATGTTTGTTAATTTTATAGACCCAATTTGAATTTTTAGCATTATAAATCATAATATACATCGTTATACTCGGCTCGTTACACATCTTTTTATAACTTAACATTAGTAACTTTTGGCATTAAAATTGAATGATTTAAGTAACTTTATCATAAAAACTAAAATACGAATTTGTATTTAATCAATGCTAATAGTAATAATAATATGATACGTGAAACGATAGGCTAAAAATAGGGATCGCCCTATCTTTAGCCAGTGTTGCTTTCACCAAACTTTTTATCAAGAAAGAGATTATAGTTTATAAATATATCAACATCAGCTATATTTATTTTATTGTGATTAATAAATATGACAAGGTGTTTTATTTTTAAACGATTCTCCCTTTATTAATATTTCTGCAATTGTTGGTTTTTTCATCTATAAATTAATACCTACGCAAAATAACGCAATGAAATGAAACAAAATATAATATAATGGATTTCAATTGGTTGAGCCTAGTTTTAAGACTTTAAGTCTGAAATTTAGACTTTTTTTCTCAAAATTATAGCCAGTAAAAGTTGAAACTTTGAAACTCGTATGGTTTTATTTTTATTTTTCCAAATGTTAAGGGTAAAGAAATGAACAAAATTCTATGTCTAAACTTGACACAAATATAAATACAGTATAGACACATAAGTTATGTAAATTAAAAAAAATTCTCTTGGTAATTATCCGAATAAAATTTATTATCGAATTTTCTTTTATAAATAATTAAAATATTCTTTGCTTTTATTTACATTAGTTATTTTACATAAACACAAAGTAATTAGATAAATTCTGATCAAAACAAAATAATTATGAAACATTTTTCCTAATATTTTATACAAAACGGCAAAAATTATTGATAAATATTATTCCACTAACTTTACTACAAGCAATGACTAAAATTCATTGACATTTACATATTATTTTTTTTTTTTTTATTGCATATGATAATATATTCATTGGCATTCATAAACAAATATCTAATTCTTACAAACAATTCTTATACACAGTATTACTTTGCTATATAATATAAAAACTCATTATTTATCTTGAACCTCATTATTTTATGTAACACAGACAGAACCATTATTTTAGCTAGCTTGTGCGAAGCACCTGTCCAAATTTTCAAAAATAAATCAATACTTGGTATCGTTAACGAACCATGAATACAAAATTTCAATTTTACATAATATATCAAGTTCAGAACCATTATTTACTTCAATACCAGTAATTAAACACTTTTCTACCTTTGAACCGAATAACTTAATGACGTATGTAAAGTGTAAACATAACAGTTTGATCTAGGAGACGTTATATTAACCTGATAATGATAATTAGTTGCAATTTGTAAGATTTTCTTTATCTAAGGTTTCTTGCGTACATTGCATTATAGCATCAAATTTAATAGCAATAATAAATATCTTATCAATAAAAAATACAAGCATTATGTAAAAGAACGATAATAAACATGAAACATGGCGAAAACTTCAATTGCAATAATAATAATTCTAAAAAAAATATAGCATAAACAATACAGTTCAAATATAGAAACACAAATAGGCTAATTTGATAAAAATAAGGTAAATATAGGCTAAATATACATAAATGAAGGGCCAATATACATACAAATAACAGCAATCTTTATGACACACATAGGTAATAGGTAGGTACATAATTAAATCGAATGATACAAGAAAAGCTACGTTGATCATTTTAATATTACATTAAAAATATAATTATACCTACATAAATGGTATATAATTTATATATAATAAATAAAAGCCAGGCATACATACAGGCCAACATATAAAAAAGTTAATATAGGACAAATGTATAGAAATGATGATGCTATAATTAGGGTTATTTTTTTTCTTCATAGTTTAAACAATCACCTTTCTTCTTTTATACTTAATAATACAATGCTTACCAATTAGTGTATGCGGACTCATGACCATGTTGCAATTACAGCAAACACAATAGAGTCTATGGATCTTGCCTATGTGGCTTTTACAGCATAGGTCTGATTAGACCTTATAAGTCAGATTGTATTATCATGGTAGTCAATGCATATGAGTACATGTAATTTTATTGGTTAATGGTAAATCATACAATCTCCTCAGGACTTCAATAGAAAACCACGACAAGGTTGAAGTGAATAATTAATAACAACAATATAGGAATATAAATAAACTATAATATATATATATATATATTTAATCTTCCTATGTATGCTCAATAAATTGTCATATTTAAACACATACCGTACACCCCATTAAGTTTCTCTCCTTTTTCCACTTTTTTCTTTGATATTCTCCTTTTTGTTTCTATCACATTAGCTAATAAGCTAAATCAAGCTCTCGAGTAATCAATAAATGACTCACACATATGAGAAACCTGGAAACTGACTACGGTCAAAGTAAGTGTAATTGTCCTCCCTTTTTTAGGGTTTTTTTTTCTTAATAAAAAAAAAAGTTTGACTACAGATTTTCGAGAAAATTGTATAATATGTTATAGATCCATTCTAGATCTACCTTTGGCCTAATTTTTAGACCTATATCCCTAAAACTTTAATTGAAAAAGCAAGAAAAAAATTCTATGCATTCTAAAAGGAAAGGGTTTATGATATTTTCTTTGGTTTGTAATTTTAAGTTGAAGAATATGTAAATTTATTGGGTATTTTTCTAAATTTTAAAAGGGAAGGGGTGACTTTTTAAAATTTTTGGGCCGTTACAATACCTTTTAGGTACGATTTCTGATCCATAGAGTTGCTACACATAGAGAAATCGGCTCAGCGTTTTTTAATATATTGTGGGTACAAAAAAATAAAAACACATCATTAAGGGGCCCCTACTACACTAGCATTCATTAAAGCGCATTGTATAGGCAATTTTTCGCTAAACCTCAACGTTAAGCTAAAATGTTTAAACATACATATTACCCTAGGAAAGAAGTATCTGTTTTGATAATTATTTTTTTTTCAACTTTTATAACGCATATAGGATCTATTTTTGTACAAAAACACGTTTCTACTTCAAACGTACTGTCCTTAAGAATTCACCGATTTAAGTTTTTGAAAAACATTTGAATTCTTCACAACATTTTCAAGCATCGGTCGTGGCACAATTTTGAAAATTATTTTCAGTTAATTAATTATTTCTACATAAAAAAAATGCAATTTTTAATTTTTTTCAACTGAAATAATTAATTAACTGAAAATAATTTTTAAATTGTGCCACGACCGATGCCCTTCAAATGTTTTGAAGAACTCAAATAATTTTTTCAAAACTTAAATCGGAGTATTTTTAGGAACAGTACGTTTGAATTAGAATGAGTTGTTTTCGACCAAAAATACGCAGGTGTAAAGGCCCCTTAACAGACTTTGCCTCATGTACGAGTAGAATATACACATAATAATTAAAAAATATTTAGTAAGATTTAATAACTTAACAGCTAATAGATTCGCAATTTTAGATTAGTTAACATTAAATTTAAAGTGTTATTTGATGATAATATTATAATGAGTTGAATATAAAATAGTTATTATATATACAATTGATTACTTTTAAATTTGTAAGAAATTTAAAGGAAATATTTTTGTGAAAATGATAGGTAGTACATACTTTTTGTTTGTATTTTTCTTGTTCTTTCGTATATTTTGCAAACAGTTGGTCCACTTTTTACCTACATGTTAGCCAAGCCTTTGGTTGACTTTAGATATAACTTCAATGAGATTGATTATGAGATCACCGTTTAACCTTTAAGTTAGGATTTTGTAAAAAATCGCCTATACTTTACTTTAAAAAAATGGCGGAGTGGCGTCCCCTAAATTGTAAACTTTGGATAACAGTGTCTTTTAACTAGAGATTTTTCAATCAAGCAATTGGTCAAGGGAGTTAATAGTTTCATATATTGTTTTTTTTTTTAATACCTCATACAGCCTACTTAAAATTTATCGTGTACGTCGTACATGTCTAAATCAACACTGTCATTATGAGATGGTTATTTAATAACTATTTAAATACTTATTTATGATGTATATTCAAGTTCAAGATATAATTTTAGTGCGGAAAACAGCTAGACTGTGTGAATTGGCAAAAAAAGAAAAATAAGTGTTCAATCAATTTGAGCGCCCATTTAAACTTATTTTTAATCGATTCCAATGTTTGCAATTATTTCTTAACTATATAAATTAATATCATAGAGCAAAACAAAAATGAAAAAACTTTTTTTGCCAAAATTTTTTTAATGTATTTTAAAATACTTTTGAAAATTATTTGTATTTGTACAAAAGTATTTTGGACTTGAATAGTAACTCAAATCCAAAATAAATATAATGATTTATAAGGAATATATTTTAAATAGGTTTTAAGGGAATTCCAAATGCTTAAGTTATTCAAGCTTTTTATGGATAATTTTTTTTACATTTTTACCGGAGAGCTTGTCTTGTGTTCACTATAAAAGTTAACTTTGTATAATTAACCGGCAGGCGACAACCATAAGTGTCTATAGATCCTACATAATTGTGTGGCCAAATGCCAATAACTTTTAAGTAAGAGACACGTACTTAGAAGGACATACAGCATACTCGATACATCATTGTTTTTTTTACTCGCAGGAGCCGAAAGGCAGTCGCTATCGCCACTTAGTCTCAGATCTTCGCGTGATACTTCGGTCAGGAGTCGTTAGCTATGGTCGACAAATTCACTAACTCGAACACATTGAAAAATTTAAGTCCCAATTGATAAAACTACAATTGGAACCTAAATGCAATTATTAACATGTATATTGCAATTGTATAATGTAGGAATAAATTCATGTGAAAAAAACATAACTACAGTTTTTTAATTTGACAATATTTTATATTTTCAACAATATAAAATGCTAAACCAAAATATTTCACTCACACGCCTTAAGATATAAACTAGAAAATACTATCCTAAAAACAAGGTGCCAAGTCCACCAACGAAAAATGTAATAACACTATGTAGACATAAATAATGAATGATCTAATTTATCTATAGATACTTAAAATTATATAATAGAAGAATAGTTGAAACGCTGAAGTAACTTACAAAAGCCACATTTTATAATTAATTATTATGCCGATATTTATATTTATAAATATATATATATAAAAAAAATGAATAGTATAACATATTATATCTACTGACTGATACAAACGCATTTGGTTAACAATTATTAGTTTATTAATCATTCTTTTTGTCATCTTCGGTTTTATCTTCTTCGATCGCTTGCGTCTCTTCTTCGGGTGGTACAGCTGCATATCCAAACTCGTTTACTCTCGTAGGATCAACTCTGTAAATCCATCTTTGGTACAAAAAGATGAAAAACACAACATCTGAAAAATAAAATTTCAAAATGTAATTAAATATAAATTATAATCATCAAATCAATAGCCATTAATTAGAGCCTCAAAGGAAAAATCAAATATAAATAAATAATAATATAAGATTTACATTTATAATTGTACTGTCATTTCATGACTCTCTAAGCACAGAAAACGTTTAATATACAATATTATAAATCACATCAAAGATTTATTTTAATAAACATTTTTATGTTAAATTTTTAAATATACCAGAGTTTAAAAATATATTTTTACTAATATTATCTTTTCTGGCCAACGACAATAAAATATAACTATTATTTAATTGTGTAGTCATAAGGGTAAACATTGTGTGTGCCCATCTTCTACTTTTTTATGTATATTATGTATTGAAATTGATTATTATTTTAAATAATGAATATTGTGTAAAAAATTGGGAGGTGGGTATATCAGCATGTACCCCATGACTACATAACTGCTAATAAACTGCCAAGTATTCATATTCTATGCTTACCGTCTCTGAAACACCCTAATCGATACATTGTGGGCATTTTTATAACAAATGCAAATATGTCGTCGATGAACGTGTTCAAACATTTGTAAGACATCATGCGCCATGGTAAATGGGCCACCGATTTCAACTTGTAGTTGATGAACAACTGTGGTGTCATAGTGATAAATCCTGAGAAAACATTTTGACAAAATTAATTTCGACGAAAAACATTAAAAAAAAATCCCAAATCAAACTTACCAAACATAAGTAAAAATCCATACAGCATGTTAAGAACCCATGAATACCATCCTTTATGTTCTTCATACACTAATGAATATAGGGCATAAGCAATGAGCAATGGATACAACACCCAAGATAAATATTTAAAAGCAAGTTGATCGTATTCTTTGGTGGCCGACTCTGCGTATGAACCCTTTTCTTTGAATTTCAATTTTGGGATAATTCCAAAGTACCGAGTTTCTCTGTCCAAACTTATGTCCACCACCTAAATTAAAAAACAATTAATTTTAATATATTTTTTTTACCAATATGTAATATACACAAGTTATTTACCTTGTTAATTTTCCAACATTCAATAGCCAAACCAACAAAGCAACTGATACGAATAATTGTATTTGTATCGTTATCAAGTACATACAACAATACAATAACAGACTGGAATACATTAAAGAATACTGCACGAACTGATAAGCCTTCCAAGGATTTCCTTTCTTTCCAAAATTGAATATCTGTCGGGTTAAAAAATTAAAGTAAATCATTGTTTTTGGACACTTAGCTAAATAACAAACATTTTTAACATTAGTAAATTTTCTCTTAACGATATTTATGTTAAATAAAAATGAAAATAATAATTAGAGTATACAATGTTTTATACCACTTCAACCACATATTCTGAATAAATAAAATAATACTAAATTTTCTGTGAAATAAACGAAACTAATTTATTAAGTTGTGGTGTCCACGATTTTCTATAAGCATGTTTTTTTAATAAAGCAAAGATATTAACTTTCTCAAGGCAGGTCACCCTACCCTAACTAATTAATTTAAACTTACCATTTTTAAATGCTAGCAATTCAAATACACTGTGTAATATCGATACAATTATAGTAGCGGCTAAAATATAAGGAGAAGTCTCTAATAATGCTTCTTTTAGCGAGTCTTGATCTTGATCATCTTCATTAGATTCTGCTCCGAAAGCGTCACCTAAGAACCCAGAAGTCCACTTATTTCTCATCGATTGTGCAGAAAACATTTGCCATTTGAATAACGACATCGGTTGGAATGTTAACGATAAATCCAATTGTCTAAAAATAAAACAAACATCATTATGTGCATTTTAATAACTATGATTAATAGCCAAAATAGTGGATGTAAAGTTATTTTAGGCCCTGCAATTACTAGCACCTGCCGCATATTTTTTTAAATGCTAAAAATCCAAAAGTAATATATTGTTAAACAATAATAGTTTAAGACTCATTATTGTGCAAAAATATATAAGCAGATTATATGACGATTTAATTTAAAAAGTTAATCGAGTCATAAAATGAATAAAAAGAACAAATGCAAAAAACGTAACAAAAAAATATGTAGAATTGTGATTTTATCATTTGCTATTATTACCCATTCACTCAAATATTTGTCGCTATTATTACTTTTAAGATTATTATTGCGCAATTTTGGCCTAGAACTACAGATAATCAAACACTTACTTCACAGTTTCATTAATTGGCTGGTAATCTCGAAGCATGTTCCAAAAATCATTAAAAAATACCATTGGTTTATACTGATGATTTGGTAAAAATTCTAGATCTATAAAATACATGTAATTTAGATTTTTTTTTTTTAATTGAACAGTAGCTACACTTACAGTCGCTGAATGGCTGTGGTAGAGATCCTTTTGTCCAGTTTGTTTGATCTGTTACCATACAAATTGTTAAATTTGGATGCCAATGTGACATAATTTCAGTCTCAACCTTTTCTGCTTTCTAAAATTAAAAGAGTATTATACAAAATGATCAAAGTAAAAGTATAGTGCCCTATTATGATTTAAGTATTTTTAAATTGAAAATTAATACAAAAACTGTAATCAACATTTAGAAAATGTACTTAATTTTTTTTAAACTTACTTCTATTTGCTCAGGTGTAAGTGATGTCTGACCAGTAAGAAGATTGTGGGTTTTCATGAATTTAACTTTTTTATACTTATTTAATTGTTTGGAAGCGTATGTAACATAAGGATCAAGTTTGCTAATATTTGAGTTTGTTTTTTTAATGAAATACACATGTAAATAAATAGATCCATTGTTTTGTAAGCTCTGAAAAAATGTACAAAACATAAGTTATAATACTTACCTAATTAAATAATAAATGAAATATAACATGTACCTTAGTAGGAATAAAAGATGTCTGTATAGTGTATGTACCATCAAAATTAGGACCAGAATCCCAGTCTCCATATACTAGATTAGTTTTATGCCATATTAGTTCTTTATCGCGAAATTCTTGTAAAAACTTATCTTCTGATAAATAAACATACATATCCTTCAAAGACAGAAAAATCAATCAAAATTAATTGAAAAAAAAATAAACATTAATAAAAATTATTTAACGTTTTTAGCGCTTTAAAATGTTTTAAAATTTGAATGATAAAAATATTGCTTACAAATGGTGTTCCGAACTCGAACAAATTTGTATATGGAACTGTATCTAAAGATGCTCCACCAGGACTTGGTGCCGGAGCAGGTTTTTTGAACATCGATGTAATAAAATAAATAATTAAAGATCGAACAATTAATGTTTTCACTACAGAAAAGAACATATTAAAACGTCCTTGTTGGGGTTGTTCTTCCTGGGCTGGTTCCACATCGCCACCGGCCTGTAAATAAAACATAATATGAATACAATTTTTAGTTATTAATAGAACATATCGACTGCTGCAGCGAAGATTAAATAACCTGTTTTTTGCCACTTTTGAGGAGAGTAAAAATAAAAATTTCAATTTTGATTACTTATCTTAATTTTGTATGAATTATTCAAATAAATAAAAATTATTATACACAAGTTTCTTAAACCGGTCCCACATGATCCACATACTTGGCAAATAATCGTCAATCGCAATGCTTTACGAGTTGTGTAGGAGATATTAAATCGTAAAGTATGACGATTATTTTTACTCGGTGAGTCACTCGTCATTTTCCGATCGTTGTCGGTAAATATGACACGTGTCAAAGGGATAACAAATATTCGTATAAACAATTGTTGTGTCTCCCAGACGACTCAGAGTTCATATAAATATTGGCGAGTATTCGCGATGACGATGATTGTCAAGTACACGAGTCTTGTGGGACCGGCTTTATGCTTTCAGATGTTTTTCGTCGATGATAGAGAAAAAAAAGAATTGATAAAATCAAGTTGCAACTTCCATGCAGCAGTTGAAATTTTAGTTTAAGCGAAGTATTCAAATAATTTTTATTTAAAAAGACAGGTTCACGCCTACATAGATTTCTTGTGCGACACATTGTACTTTATGAAATACAGTTAAGTTTCCTAAGAAAAAGTCACATATCTATTGATCGAGCTTAATATACAAAACTATTGTTATTTTTGGTTAATGCCTAGATTACACGTGACGAGCACTTACGGCCGAGACAGTGATCTAGGCCGAGTACTTGACTATCTAAACCACATAAGGTACAGTACTCGGCCTAGTGAATAGGAACAGTTTCAATTCGCTCGCCCGAGCAGCAAAACGAGTTTCTCAGCCGAGTATACGTCATGTGTAAACTAGGCATAAATTATTTGATGTTGAAGTAGTAAAATAATAAGTGCCCATAGATATGTGAATCGTTAAAAAAAATTGAATTATGTTTATAAAATGAACCAATTTCTAGATCATTAGCAGATACCAACTAATTGGACTCTCATTCACTTTGAACTTTTCCAAGTATATAACAGTAGGTGGTGGGCACGATCGCAGGCGACGGCAGTGGACCGTGGACATAGCGCCCCGACAGTTACATAAAAGCCTATTATTTTTTGTTATTTTGAAGGGTTAGGTTAGGTAGCTGGCGCTTACAGAGCAGAGTATCAGGTTAGTATAGTCCTTTAGACAAGCTATTTTTCCCTCTAGGGGTTTGGGGGCGTGGGCCCCCCTCCTAACGAACAGTCTAAATAGGCTCGAGTCGTTTAATATAGTTGTAGTAGATTTATATATTTCCCACAGTTTATTTTAAAAAGGGATATGTTTTGTACATTTTTCCCTGTTGTAAAAAACTACCACATTGAGCGTAGGTATGTGAAATTATTAATGCCCTGCCCTTTGTAGGTATATTATGATCAAGGTAATTTATTGATAACAAATAGGAAACAAACTGCTGTGTTTTTCAATCACGATTCACATCGCCGACAACAGCTGCATGGTGCAGCGGCCGCCGAGAGCCGTGAAAGTGTTCAAATTTTAAGTAGCAATAACTTTAGAACTAGAGGAGTCCACCAATTTCCGACTACAGATTCGTAATCAGTGCAAAAACACTACAAGACGGCAAAAAAAACCAAGGGGGTCTCGTGAAGTATATTTGTTCTAATGCTAAAACCAATAAGATATATGTAACAAGATAAGGTTAAACAGTGTCTTGGCTAGACCTAGGTATGGTAACCGGCCATAAAGGAATTACATTGCATAATGACCAATCAAAATTATCATTACCTCGTTGCCGGGCTGGCGCACTGCAACGTCCGTCATTATGTTCTTGAGTCAACGGTTCCGTAGTAGTACAAAAACTATTTACTGTCGACAGTAAATATACAATAGCGGCTACGACAATTCAATAACATGAGGGTCGTTGTTTGAATGAATTGTTTATTAAAAAAAAAAAAAAAATTTTAACCAAAAACCTCGCACTACGACATGGTTCACAAATAAAGTACGACAATATTTTATTAATGAAAATAACAATAAATTACAGTCGATAATCTTCGGCGGATTTAGGGTTCGGTTTTATCCGCTCTACATGATAACCACAACGGGTTGGGACTTGGGATCGGCGTTACGTTGTCAGCGATAATTATTGTTGTCATCAATGGGAGGAATAATTAGTGGGACGGGCGTGGAGAATCCACTGATAACGTCGCAGTGCTGCCAACGCGCGCGCGCTTCGTGTTGGCCAGACCGTCGGGCTCGGCCCAACGACACCGCCCCGATCGCCACCGTTTCTCTTTCCAACGCGGTTTCTCTGTCGCGCCGTCTCCCGACCCGACCGTCGCGGCGACACCGGATTGGCGTTTGCCGTTTGCGTTACACACACACACACACACACACAGCACATGCATACGACCGCACCGCTCGGGCAACCGCACGGCGCACTGTAGTAGCAGCTTTTTCGGTAACGTTTTTGGTTTCATTTGATGCGCGGGTACCCGTAGCTGTCCACGGAGCAAGTCTTATCTGCATTCAGCACTCGTCTCGTGACGTGTTTGGTGTCGCGGCGTCTTGTCGATCAATCCGAACAATCGCGTTACGGTACAATCACGGATTAGATCTGTGGTACAGTTCAGATACAATATTACTATCGCCGGACGTCTTTTTCGTTGTCCGCCGCCATCGTCGAATTCCGCAATATTGCGTCGTCTCGAGAATTGTCCGCAACGACTTTGTCGGTTCCCGGAGGCGCTGGGCTTGCCGTCAAAGATTCACATGTAAGTATAACGTTTCAGCTGAAGTGCAGCCAATTTATTGGTGTACTTTGGTACTTGTATCGACCTAACCGTTTTTTAAATATTGTGAAACTCGCCGTTAAGTGTCGTATTGTGACGTGTACTGTTATAGTATTAAGTTCTTATTTTTTTTTTTTGTTACAGCTTTGGCCAAGTCGACTACGGAAGCGAACCAAAATCGCTTATAATTTCATCATTATTTCCGCGTCCCAAAAGGGTGACACCATTTATATGAAGTTTCTCGCCACTGGTAAGATTATATTTTATTCGAGAATAATATGCATTTATTACAACGATTTTTATATTAATGCATTGGAGTATTGGACTTTATCAGTCTGCGTGTAACGTGCACGGAGTATTATAACCTTGAAATACCGCAAATCCATAAGGTTTTTTTTATTTTTTTTTCTAAAAATATTATCATGTTCACGTCTGATACGGTTGCGGTCGAATAACTCGAAAAGTGCCATATGGTTCACTCGGAATTTTTTTTTTTTTTTTCATTTTACTGCACATATTATTTGCTTCTTGGGTTTCAACAAGCCTTTGATAGTATTTTTATTGGCCGCTGTATTAGTTTGACGTAGATTAAACGATAAGACCACCCGACGTTTCATTCCACATCAAGATTAGCGAGCTGCCAATTATTTTTTAATGAGGTTAATTCCCTTGAAATTTATCTGTTCCTCTAACGAACTTAGGTCAATATTCAGTTAAAAACTTTGTTCTTAAAAAAATAATATTATAATAAACAAAGTATCCCAACTAAATTGGCACATATTTTTCTACAGTTTAACGTGTTGTGCTAGATCCGATCTAGGTACGTATTGGGATTTTGAGACAAACCTACCTATTTTATTTGTTTCCAATTTTTCTTTTTAAAATTTTAGTTTTGTAACAATTGCATAGTACAAAAGTAATGGCGCGACCAGAATTTATTTTTGTGCTGATGGAGGTTATGAAAAGTGTTAAGCCAAACTAAGTGTCTATATCGCTAAATCATTTGAGCACCGAGGGATCACAGCAGTTTGTTATCAGTATTGGCCCTTCATCACGCTCCTATACTCTAGATGTGGGCGCAGTTACCTAGTGGTCGGCCTAGAAAATGCTAAGATATTACTACAAATAACTGCCAAACTTCCATCCAGGATTTGCTATTGTTTACAAGTGTTTAAATTTATTTGAGAGTTGAAATCGTAGAAAAACGTATTGGCAAACTAAAGAAATATTATATTTTTCATTTGGACATTTTTTTGAAATAGAATTCGATTTGAGATTTTTAACTTTCAGAAATAATAAAAATTCATTAGTTGATTTTCTTTATAATTATTTGATAGTAAAATATTCCTAGGAACATTTTAATTACTGTATTTTGAGAATTGATATTCTTCTGTACTTGTATGGACTATAATTAAGTAATTTTGACCATCATTACTATAGAATTTTTCAAGGTTAGATTTAATAGTCAAGCATGTTATGTGGCAACTGTAAATACTATGGTAAGATGATAATGTCTCTAGTTTGAATTGGTTAATTCTGTTTATTTTAGTTTTTTTTGTTATTTTACTTATAAATTTAAAACTTGGTAATAGTTGTACAAAATTCATTTTAACTTGAGACTAAAATAAAATGCACAACTGAAAAGTTGCATACTAGCATTAATAGTTTTTAACAGTGGTGGAAATTGAAAAAAAAACCTAAAGCCCCACTTTTATAATGATTTAAAAAATCCCCCTCTACCATTATCGTAAGAACCGTTATATAACCCATTGACCTACCAGACCTTTGTTACATGAATCAAGCTCTCAAGTCTCGTGGATACTCCTTATTCTATTTCATTCTCAAAATCAATAAAACAATTTTACTAATTTTAGTTTTGTCAATATAGGTATTAAAACAACATCTTTCTTGAAATTTTATATAAACATTATTTCATCGCACCAAACGTACTTACTACAATTCACAATCAGTTAGCTGCAGCCATAATTTAAAATCAAAATTTTGATATATTTATAGATTATAGTTCTGTTTTAAATTTGGAATTTATTTATTTGACTAACCAAGTCAATAACAATAATGAGAAATTATTGTGGTACACAATTTGTTAGATTATGCAACTGTTTTATTTTATATCACATTTCTAATGTCCTAATATTCTTGACAAATAAGATTGATAATCTTATCAAAATAAATATGTGTTCAAGATTTCATGTAGGTGATTTAATTTTTACTGTATTATTTTTTTTTTCAAATGATAACATTGCCCTAATAATTTATAAGCAGTATTTATTTAATGATATACACATATTTTTAATTTTGTCTGTAGCCACCTGGAATTTAAACTTACTCCAAGAGTACACAGTTGGTAATGTTTATTTTGAGATAAGATTATGTTATGTCATTATAGCTCTTGTTGTTCTTTTCTTATTTCACTCATTGTTTGGTACAAAGTATATTTTCTGTGAGCCAATAACAAACCGATTTCGTAAATGAAGGTGCTCCAAAAGTTTTTTTTTTAATCTTGCAGTTTTTCCATGTCTAAATTGATCTTAATAAGTGGGGAAGTAGGCTTTTATATTGGTTTGGCACCATAAAGGTCGATTCACACATATTAGTGACCGTTTCGAGATTCCGCCAGCCGTGATTTCTATTCACAATGGTCAGTGTTTCGTCCGTCATTAGGTCTTGAGGTCGTGGCCAAAATGTTTTCGGAAAATGAACTACTGTTGATTGCTATGGGTTTGGACGAAGAAGAGGAAGAATACGTGGTTAATAACGGATGTGGGTTCATAAGGCATGGACAAATAGGCCTTCAGAAGGGGAATTTTCTACATTATATTAAGAATTAACAGATGATGGAACGAAGTTTTTAGAATGTCAGAAAATTTGTCATTCATATTTTTAAATCACTATTTACAACGACCAACTGAGAATAGAAAGAACCAGAAAATATATTGAGTTTTTCTATTCACAGTTAGCACAACACGCAATAGCTGAAAATCCTACCGACACGCAGTCGTGAAATTGAAAAAATATCGTCGGGAATCAATGTGATGATCACGGTATGGTGTCGGCGAAGGCACTGTTTGCACTGTCACTGCCACGCGCCGGTCTTGTATGAACAGGCCCCTTAAAATTCCTGCACTGTCACGTCACTGATATGTGTTAATCGACGCTTAGATAACTAAAACTTGAGATCTAAGGAAGGGCTTTGTCTTGCTGCTCCTACACCGCACTTTAATATTAAACTTTTTTGCGATATAATTTATCAATTTGGAATTTTCGTAGGTTTAAACAAATTATCATAAACCCTTTTCCTTAGGAGGGGTTGGTAACTAGTACTTTATTTATCTTTTTGAGCTAAGTTTTAGTATTGAAAATAAGATCTAGAATAGTATGGAACTATGACAATTTTCTTAAAAATCTTGAGTCAAACTAATTTTTATAAAGAAAAAAAAATGAAAAAATTGCTATAATTTTAAGTTGAACATTTTGAAATTTATTAGGTGTTTTTCTCAATTTTGAAAAGGAAAGAGAGTACTTAATTTTTGGTCTGATTTGGCATGAATAAATCGGTTTGGCGGCTTAAAAGATTTTATGGGCCCAGGCACAAAAAACAAAAAAAAGGTATATATAAAAAATAGATCACTGTAAAAACAGCACTTTCTCAGCTTCGCATTAAAGCTAAAATATATTTTTGTGAAATTCACTATAAAATACTGAACACAGGCATCGCTGTGTAATTAAAATATAATTTTCCTCTATTATTGAAAATCATTTTACATCATAGTAATCATTTATTACTTAAAAATTGATCATCCATTATTATTTCTGCGAATCAAGTCTGTGACCGGTTTTAGATTGTATTATTATCATTGATTATAAATAATATTATTTAAAATCAATTGTTTTATCTATTCTGTGATAAAACAACGTGTGATATGAATTATTTAATTATAAAAATTCAATAAACCTTCTTTCACACTTCCAACAGTATACTCGACTGCTGTTTTTCGCTGATAATCAATTATAGTTCCAAATTAAACATTGTCACTTGTTTTATTTAAATAAATTGGTCCATGTGCCTGTATACAATATTATTCCTACTAAAACATTTAGTTACCTCAGTATAAATGTGGCTAAGTGAAAAAAACAAGATGTGCTTTAGCATAAGTCTCCTTAAAGTATGTAATTAAGGGGAATGAAAGTGGACGGGTTTTTAAGGAGTTTTATATACCTAGGTAATATTTAAGAAAAAAATGGTGTTTTAATACACTTCGCCTTTCGGCCATGTCTATTTATTTGCAGATTAATTTTTGTACAAGCTTCAAGGTATTGTTTTTAACTTCTAAGATTTGTTCAACGAGTAAACGGCATTTCGGTGGTATTTTAGACCTAAAAGCCTGACAAAATAACAACCCCTACTTAGGATTGTCTGATTTCAATTGTGTAAAAAAATTTGAGTTTATTAATTAATTTACTAGGTTATGTAGGGAAACCAATTTTCATTGAAAAAAATGTAGTTTCTTGTAATTAAATAAATTAAATTTGAATATTTTTCAATACTAAAAAACATTAATTTTACATAATGGAAAAAATAAAAAATCAAAATTAAAAAATTATTTTAATTATTTTTTTAAGTATTTGTTTTTATAACAGCTTAAATAAGTAGTTATATTCGAATAGCTGGTGTTGATGTACCCCTGACAAATGGAAAACCTAGTGTTGTAGGCTACTGTTTTTGCAAAACAGCAGATTTATATAATAAATGTCATTGCTCAAATAACTGCAGCACACGTTCCATTGTTGTATCAAGCTGTTTCGCCAAATGTGTAAACCTACCAATTTGTTTAGTGTAAAAACAATAAACCAACGATTCCGTTTAAATAATTTTTATATTTTAATTTTAATATTTTCTGGACCGTGCACGGAAATTTATATTATATTTTTTCTTTGATACAAGATAATCTCAATTGTATCTTAGGTTTTCTCAAAAGTTGTATGAATACTTGGAACTTTTTTGATACAGTTTATGCAAGAACTTTTTGTTAGACCTTTTATTATAAAGTTCTTTTGAGAATGTTTGCGTCAGAACTTTTATAGTAGAGAAGTACATTTATAATAAAGTTCTTCCAAGAACTTTTTGGCCAAGACTTTTATGTAGAAGTTCTTTGTTATAAAAGTTCCCACGTAAATTTATGTACACATTTATTTAACCTATTTCCAAAAAAATAAGCTTATTTTTTAAAGTTATTTTTGAACTTTTATGTTAAAAGTTTAACTGGAAAAGTTCTTGTGAAACAGTTAAACTTAAATATAATCACTTACATTCCCAAAATTTGTAACAGTAAAACAATTATTAATAAATTTTTGCTGCTGCTGTTAGTTCCCAAAAAATTACCCCTCCCCCCAGCACCATACAAATTGTACCCCCGGGCAATGTCCTGTACTCTTCGCGGGGTAATCAATAAAGTCTGGAGCTCTGCTAGGGGATGGGGGTGAATGATGTTGGATGCTGCGGTAGTACAAGAGAAAAACGGCACGGAATTCTCGGGGGAGACGGGCCGAAAAGGAGACACTTGGCGGATGCCGCGCCTGATAATTTATTGACCCGCGACGCAACCAACACGGCTTGGGCATGTGCTTACCGAACGACAAGCGACGCGCAAGGCTTGTGCGTGTCACTAACGGCGGTGGCAGCAGCAGCAGCTCCTCCTCCGAACTAGCGCCGGCCACGAGCCCGTGTGTAGGTAAAATATTGATTTTTGGGTCTGGCTTGCCGCTTGTGCGGCGTATGTATGTGTGTGTGTGAAAAACTGTAAGTACTACGTGTACTCGTGTTGCCGCCGTCGTCGTTGCAAGTCAGCCGCTTTGCCGCAGTCCGCCCAAAAGTGAACCGTTTTTGGATTGAACGCCTTCTACGCGTTTATCTTTTTTGGAAATATTCGCCCATTTCGTTTGTTCGCCACACTCTGCCTCTGCTGTCGTGTTTTATCACCTCCTCCCGTCCTAAAACAACAAAAAAAACCGCCGCGGTATTTCAGTCGATCCGGATTTTTATCCCAGGTTTAAACATTAATTTACCGAAGACGTCTGGTAAACATATGGTGGTGCCATATCGCATAGGTGAGTTTACTTAAAATAAAATGTTGACTGTGGCTTTTTCCAAAGTGTAGTAAAAAACTGGTCCAGACAAACGGACGGCGCGCGACGACCGGCGCCGTCTATTAGCCAAACCATTATGCAGTATGCACACCTACGCGTAAAACCCAGAATAATGGCTATAAGGTATTTTAAGCCATTGCGTATGCACAACAGCCGGTAGACACAACGTGCCTAGTATACAGGGTGATTTTTTTTATCATGGGCCACACTGGGTGTAATAATAAAATATTAATTAATTCGTAATTAATTTGTTTTTTTTTTTAATTTGAATGGTAAAAATACTACACTCCTCTTTCCTCCTACCCTAAACTTGAAACTTCAATAACTTAAGAAATAGTTATCCAAAATCGGCTATCGACCAGTCAAAATGTTAAGTACATTATTCTCAATTTAAATAGTCAATGAAACGTATGCGGTCAGTTTCAAAAGTCGCTATCAAATAAACTAAAATGGGAGGGGGTAAAAAACAAAAAATATTGTGAAAAATTAAGACCACATTGTATAAAAACATTATGAAAAAAAAACAAATTAAATTTCTTTTTAAACCTTATGAAATATCGAACGGTTCACGATAAAATGATCACCCTGTATGTGTATATACATATTATAATTATAATAATAGCGCAGGTACAGGTAACACGTTTCCGCCCTTCCTACCTTTCTCTCTCAAACATCAAACACTTAACTTATTAATATCTATTTCGCCACCAGACTATCGTATAATGTATTATTTATATTTTTGTTTACTTTTTTCAATGCTAGTTTCCTAGAAACCGAAGGAATCGTTTAAAAATTCAATAACTCGATGTATATTCTATTCAGTTTAGTTCGTTTTTTCTTTGTGATGATAAATAGAGGTATCCAATCTTTAGATGAGCGTGTATTTCGAGGATATTGTACAATTAATTGTAATTGTTAATTTGGTTTAAAAAAAAATCGAACCTAATATCTATTGTTTTTTTCTTTTTTTTGTTATGTTGCAGTATCGACATCATTATCCAGAGCAAGATCTGGCAATTATAAAAAGCTCATCGAGCCATTTATTGGCCCTTCTACAGAGTGCATGAGTTCTTCAAAATACCTGGGATTTAGTTTTCGGTAATAACATTAATAATTTTATTAGCCAATAAATGACAAACGGTGTATTTTTTGTTTATTACATGTTATTTTTATAGACATTTGTTGCAACAGGACATCAAAATACTGCTGCAATCGACACAGAAAATTCAGGGAAACGTGACAGGTTATACTTAAAATAGGAACGAAATAGCTGCAACCATGGGTAGCGTGAACGTTAATCGGAATGTCAGTGATGCATTCTATAGATATAAAATGCCTAGACTCATGGCTAAGGTCGAAGGCAAGGGCAATGGCATTAAAACGGTTCTTGTCAACATGGCTGAAGTAGCCAAAGCGATTGGACGACCAGCTACGTGTAATTTAAAAAATATTTCAATTTGTGTATACTTTGGGTTATATTTATGGTTTTTTTTTGTAGATCCAACTAAGTTCTTTGGCTGTGAATTAGGCGCTCAAACCCAGTTTGATTTTAAACACGATAGGTTCATTGTAAACGGAGCTCATGATGCTGGCAAACTTCAAGTATATAAAAATCTATAACTAGAAAGAATGATATCCACTATTTAATATTTCTATCTGTTTTCTTAAGGATTTATTGGATGGCTTCATTCGGAAATATGTATTGTGCCCAGAGTGTGATAATCCAGAGACGGAACTAATGATCAGCACTAAGAAAGGAACAATACATCAAGGATGCAAGGCCTGTGGTTTTTATTGCTTATTGGAGTCCAAACATAAATTAAATGCTTACATTCTTAAAAATCCACCAAGTACGTCGTTCAACATATATTTTTATTTGATATTTTATTTTTAATTATTTGTTCCAATCGTGTTATAGATTTGAATCCAGCTGCCCAAGGATCTTCTTTGACTGAAGGTAAACGCAACAGACGCTCTAAGGTCAAAGGTGGCGAGAACGGTGAAGGCGGACGATCCAGTTCTCCAGAAGAAAACAATTCAGAACTGATTGTGCAAGCTCCTGAAAAGTTGGCCGGAGACAAAGTAATTGTTGTTTAAGGGAAATTATAAAATAAAAATCAATACGTCGACACTAATATTATTTCTATAAAAGGATGAGGATAATTGGGCCGTTGATGTCTCTGAAGAAGCGGTAAGAGCTCGTATGCAAGATTTAACAGATGGCGCTAAAGGATTAACCATCGATGAAGATACTGACAAGACCGAAAAGGAGCGCATGGATATATTTTACAACAAGGTACAGTTTATAATATCTTACTTGGCCACACCTATTGCAGACATACCTGTATAAAAAATAATAGAGGTCTTCAATGATGCTTTTTAACCGCGATAAAATATGAAAATGTTATACTTTAATTTAAAATCAATATCTCATTGAAAACTTCTGTTGAGAGAACCGTCATGAAAAATATGTAAGCTTAATAACGAACGTTACATACATTGCCTAGGTTCAAAAGGCGCGTGATTCTGGTTCGATATTGGCTAAAGAACTTGTGGCTGAAGCTGAACGTTTGGAAGTTAAGAGCAAGGCGACTTTGGTGTTGGCTGAATTGCTGTTTGACGATAAGATTCATTTGCAGGTAAAAAATTTAAATTGTTTAAAATAAATAGCTAATTTGATCGAAACAAATTAATAACAATTATTATCGCTTGAATCGTTATTAGTTGAAGAAGCACCGTGTCTTGTTTTTACGTTTTTGTCACGAGGATCAAAAAGCACAAAGATATTTACTCGGCGGTATTGAACAAGTCATTGGATTGCATAAAACAACTCTGTTGCCAAAAGTCTCCGCTATATTGAAAGTAATTATTTTCATTCTAATACTGATAAAAATATAACCCAAATGTAAGAATAAAGATTTAATTTTTTAAATTATTTATTCTATTTTTAGTTGTTTTACGATGCTGATATTTTGGAAGAATCTGTTTTGTTGGATTGGGCTAGCAGAATTAGCAAGAAATACGTGTCGAAAGAACTCAGCCAAGAAATACATAACCATGCGAATCAGTTTATAACATGGTTGCGAGAAGCAGAAGAGGAGGAAGAAAGCGCCGACGACAGTGACGATGAACTAGAGGTAATTATCGACGACAATAGTTGAATAATTGATGGTTTTGTAATTACGAAAAACTATTTTTTAGATTGAGTACAACGATCGTGTGCACACGAGTACTTTAAAAGTACAACCCACTCCACCTGTCGTTAAGCCTGCCGCTGCTGATGATAATGAAGACGATGTAGACATAGATGCCATCTAGATTGCAATTATTAACATATTGTCATGTTTGAGATTTATTCTTTATTAAAATTAAATGGAAAATAAATAATTAGTATTCATAATAATCAAATACACTACACAATTTGTCATAAATTTCAAATACTTTTTTCCATTTTGTTATTGAGTTATTTATAATATATATATATATATATAAATTTACATTCAACGGAATAATAAATGTTAATGATTTTATTTGACAACATCCAACATCTGACATTAAATTTAAAACTGTAACGAGTTCTTGTCATAGTTTATGCATTTATACAATTTTGTATGTATTTATGCGAATGTGCGGTGTGGTGTGACAATTTTTAAGTTTACTCAACATTCTTTTATTCAATTTTACTCTATTATTTTTATTTACAAAATAAATGTCATATTATATAAAATAAAATAAAAATGATTTTAAAAGAACCGCCACGTCTTTAAGGTGTAGTTAAGTTTGCATTTAAAGAATTTTGGTATTATGTTGTAAACATTTTCCCAAAAGATAGAATTGTAGAGAATTTAAACATTCTTTGAAGCTATTTAGTTCCAATTGGTAAAAAAAAAAACTAGATGTACACGTACAAGAAATTATAGAATTTTTAAATGATTGGATCATACTTTAAAAGTTTAAGAGTGAAACAAATCGATCTGGATTTGGAATACTCTGGCACCCTGGTGTCTGTTATTTGATGTAGTTAATTCGATGAGACTTAAAAGTTTAAAGCAAAGAAGTGTTAGGAGTTAATTTAAAGCAATGTATAGGAAAAACAGAGCACCGTTAAACTTGGTCAATAACAAGGTGTTAGTTGACGGACAGAGAACTTGTGTGTGTGTGTATAAAAACAAGAGTATTAATTATAGTAGAGCATTGAACTGACTAAAAGTGAGTAATTACAACTATTAATACATACCAGAGTCCAGAAATAATTTTGGTTAAGCAAAGTTTTGGGAAGATAATATATTTATCGGCTTAATTCATAAATTGCATGAGTTAATTAATATTGTAACTATAAATAACAATAGATTATCTATGTATATAGATAATGTTTATTATTTATGTATATAGGTATATACATAAATAATAAAATGTAAAAAAACATGGTGTCAGGTGTTATAAATTAATATTTTTAATGCTCTTTTTCCCTTGATTTTATAACGGTTACTTTTTGTATAATAACTGACTAATTAATGGATTTGAGTAATTTGTCTTCAAATTTTAAATTGAATAAGAAATGTCAGCTTTTCGTTGGATAAAGATGACCTTAAATAATAATTTGTCTAGTTCATCTACACTTTTTGGACTATTATCTGATAGTAGTACATATTTTTATGGGTTAATGTTTGAAATAAAAATTGGTAGAATATATATTGACACTTACACATAGCACACATTAGATATCTAAAATGTGCATATAGTTACACATAAAAGTTATTTTAATCAAAATGTAGAAAAAAGACCTATACAAATTTAAATTAAATGAAAAGGTCAGAATATCTAAATATAAACATAGTTTTAGGAAAGTTTTTAAACTCAAAATTGGACAACGGAATTATTTACTATTACCAACATTTTAGATATTAGTCCTAATAGCTATAAATTGGCTGACGATAAAGGTGAGATAATTTCAGGATAATTTTTTATGATCAAGAAATTAAAAAAATACTAATTACCTACCCTAATACATATATTACACGCCAAGTGTTCTCACCTGAAAATTAAAACTTAAACTTAACTACTTAAATTTTAAATCCGTATATGGGCTATATGGCAGCACGATATTTTGGCATTTAAATAATTATTGGAATTATTATATTTTTTATAAACATTGTACGACACGTATTGTAGTGTTCAACGTCAATCATTATCTGTTGTGTTGGGCGACGATCGTTCCTCGTGGGAATTGAAAAAAATAATAACTTGTATTTTTTTCGATTTCCATAATCGGTTCTACTATAAAAGTAATATTATTACTGAATGTATGTATAGACTGTACAATCTGTACTTAACTGTAATGGACACCCACTAGTTGATGTGTATATGTTATGTACAGCGCTCGCCGCCGACCATAGTAGTTGGCTTTTAATTTTCGGTCTAGTCGCAAAATCAGTTTGAATTAGTAAATTACACATTTAAGTATACACATACACATTGGTTTTATTGTACACACACATATATTGAAGACCACCGTCGAAAAGAAGAGATGTCACTGACAGTGTTCGTGCCGTTGCTGTTGCTTTCAGGTCAGACATCCATTAAAATAGTACCAGACACTTAGGGGCATAAAATCAAAGGCATTGTCTTATTTCATACAGTAATGTGATGCGATAGCATGTGATGTGTTCTATTAATAATTATTTACCATAGTAGTTGTATTAAATTAAGTGTGTTATATTTACCACTAGCTGTGGAGGGCCAGAAAATGAAATCCTGGAAGCCCAGCGTCGATTTCGAGGACTCTGTCAATTGGAATTTGGGGAAGACACCGTCTTCCGTGGATGTGGCGGTCTTCCAGGAAGACACTGCTGTCCCCGTTGTCTTGCCATCGGTCGGTGTGGACATTTGCGCATTGATCTTACCGAACAACGGTCAAGTGATTCTCAAGCCCAATGCTGTCATCACCGTGTCTGCTTCTTTGCCAAGTTATTCTGCTGAAGGAATCGGGTGCACGGGACAAAGTTAGTTGGTCCTTTTTAAAAAAAAATATATTTACCAGGATAATACAAAGTTCTACGTTTTCAATATTATTTACAGCTGTGAAATTTAAAAAAAATTCTCCATTGTCGTGGGCCGATCCGGACAATTGGTCCAGCGAGGCTTCCAGTGCAACGCCTCACGTCGAAAGAATTCCTTGTGTACACGATACCGTGGTCTTCAATCCAGATAACTCGTTTTCGGCTTATGTCCCTGACATACAGATAAACGTAGGAGCTGTGAAGTTTGGAAATCAAGTAAGACGTTCATCTTCATAACATCTCTCACTGTCCCTGCCTCATCTCTTATGACCGAACCATCTTAACTTACTATTCACACTCATTTTCCTCGCAATTGATGCAACTCCTAGACTCCCCCCCCTTGTGTATTCATTTCTTATTCTATCCTTCCTGATCACTCCACTCGTCCATCTTAGCATTCTCATCTAAAGCTAAACACTGTCGTTGGTTTTGGGGGGCAGACATTCGGTCAAAACGAGCTGAACGAATTTCTTGTAACGGACGTGGGCGACCAAGAATTAAAAAGCACTTCGCCCAACAACCAAGTGTCGATAACGTTGACGACAACCGATTGCGATGATCCAACGGGATGCGAGTGTGGCACTGAAAACCTTCTAGACGATGTATGTCGAACAGAGTCGAAACGCTGTGCTAAAAAATTAGGTTGTGTCAACCCTGTGAAGCCAGAAGGCCACTGTTGCTGGATTTGTGGTGAGCGCACATTGCTGATGCGAGATTGAAATATTGAAAACATTCTAATGAATTATTTTGCAGGAGCTTACTTTCTAGTTCACTACAACCCGAGATCGTATGTGGAAAAGAATTTTAAAAATGCTCTTAACGAGACCGTCAAAGACATTGTCGGCAAGTTCAAAGGCTATGGGCTAAACTTTCATGCTCAAAAATTGGTCAACGGAATTTTGCAGTTTGTAATATTCAGCGACGGAGAATACGTCGACGAAATCGATAAAATTGCTCAACAAATAAACGAAAAACTTTCAAGTTCGTGTAAGTGTTTTAATTATAATCACAGATTTGATACAACTAAATAGTGCACTTCCTATTGAAGCAATTATGTAATTGCTGAAAATGCTATCAAGACCCTCTTCAACTCGGAGTAACCTCTGGTAGAATTTAGTAATAAAAATTCTTTATAAGAAATTATAGTTTCAGATCTGAGCATCACTTAATAAGAATATTACTGAATAAAAATAATGTTTTTTTCTTCAAAATGTTTGTATGAAACTTTAAAAACAAAATCTATCGAATCGTAAACTTTCACCAAGAAATAATAATACCCTACCAATAATTATAATAGTATCTTATTAGGTACAAAGAGTGAAAATATAGGTATTTATACATTAAAAATATTTTCAGCTTTTCAACTTTTGTAGTTATTACATATTACTCTCGACGTCTCTACCTTTCGAATATTTAAGTTAAAAAAAATCTTTGATCTACATTAGCTATTCATCGTTACCGGCCATTACCGCAATGGTACACTGTGCAAATTAATTACCTACGTTTAAGTTACAATATAGTGCATTTTTTTACACCTAATATACATATTACTGATTTACTGCCTTGTTACTTTCAAACTTAGACGCTAATTTGGGCATCACAAACGTCAAAATGTACAATTCAGGCCTGTCGTACAACGTAGATGGCATGACTTACGGTCAAATGGCTCTGTTTACTTGCATCGTCACGGTTTCCTTTATGCTTGCCACTATGTTCTACTACACCGGTGAATGGTAAGTCGTTCCTATATAGTGTTGTCCTTTTAGCGAATGTCAATATTTATGTTCAATAAACATAATATACCGTTTGTAGGGGTAAAAAACCCGTGTAACGCATACATTCATTATAGTTTTTACTAAGAAAAAAACCACTGTTTTACTTTCTTGTCATATTTCGGATTTCATTACAATTATTGAAAACATTTTCAATTTTAGCTAACTTTTTCATTAGCTATGCAGATCTCTGGAGCTGCCATATTATTTAGGATCTTATAAAATTCACCTTTACATGTAGAAGTTCTGTGAAGAGTTTCAGAACTCTATCTGGTATATAGTTATCATTCCCTACAGACCTTTTAAGTCGCATATCATAATTACACATCTCCCCTCGATTAAATAATAAAATATAATATATTTTAAATAATTCTTCATGAAAGTCTACATACCGACCCCAACTTGGCAAGCGTTTAAATTATGTCTATATTATGGACATCAACCATAGTTCAAATGTAACAAGCTATACATAAACAACTTTATTAAAATATAATAGTGAACTGCTCACCATGTGAGTGTTCTGCGGTATCCGTAAAGAAAAAAAACAATTTATATATCACATCGGTATGTAATTCTAGGAGAATTGCAATTTTCAACCCGAGGTCAAGTGCAGGAGTCGTGCAGTTCGTCAAGTTTGACAATGACAATATCGACGTGGAAATGATCGACGAAGATCCACGGGTGCGGCGTAAGACATCGTTCAGCAATCCCACATATGGAGCTATAGAGAATTCACCATCTGACTCACAAGTAGGCAAATGTGTAATTACAAGTATTTAAAAAAAAACCCGCGTTCAGCATAATAGGGTCAGGGCATAGTGAAGTCAAGACATAACTAAGTCAAAAGGTCTGAGTAGTTATCATAGATAATATATATAACAAACTAGAATTTAGATTGCTAAGTTTACATGTTTTGTAGCCAAAATCACTAGAAAATGTTCTCAACTTGTTTATCTGCTTGTACGTTAATACTCATTATTTTTTAAAAATATCTAAAAACTCGGTTAATTAGTAAATATTGTTTTTTGTTTTAGAATATTAACGAATTGCGTTATTCTGATTTGCCAACAACATCAAAGTCTAACAATGATAATAATATGGATGTCGAATTGGTGGAAACCGGTGACAATCAAACTTCATCAACGTAAAAACATATCACAAATAAAATATAATCAAGTAGTTTTATGAAAAAGAACGGATTACTAAATAGGAAGACATCATAATGGAAACTATTGGTTTTAAGGCGTCTCGGATAGGCAATACCTTTTACATAATATTAACAATAACATAATATTTCTGCCTTAGTAAATAATCATAATATTCTTAGTCTAGTTATAAATGTAAAAATGGAAATGTTAGTAAACAAAAATATATATTTAATATAATTATAATATCCGTAATTAATGGTAATATATTTTATTTATGGTTTTGTTTGAACATAATTTAAAAAAAAAACTGTTAAAAACGTAAAAGCAATATTTCATGAAATATAGTTTCAATAAATATCAAGGCGTTAGAAATGCATTGATAATAACTTGAACGTGTTTTGTGTTATATTATTTTTTTGAAAACAAGTTAAGCTAAAATACCGAAAAAAGAATAATTAGCATTCAACAATAAAATGCATGTTAACTGTTAAGTGTATCTTTGTGTTAATTATCGTCTTTTATCATACTAGATAGGATTAAAAATGTTTTCTTTAAAACTCCCAAGGCTTTTGGGGAATACACATTATGTGTAAAGTGCAGTATATTTTGTAATATTAGCCATGACAGTGTCGGTTACATTGGCCAATCTTAAATTACAAAAAAAAAAAGCCCTATAAAAAGGCGTTTTATAAACTTGATTAAGTTTGACTTTACATACTATGTAATGTTTTCCGATTCTGTATTCTATATACTTGCTTTGACGTTACACTACTAGAGCTACTTCGCTTTTTAAAGTACACACCTATTTTTAAGTCGATAACTTGGTAGTGGAAATTACATTTTAAAATTATCGTTTGAATCTCTAATTTTCAATAATCGATTCTTTACTTTGTAACTTTGTAAATATTTAAATTTAAAGTCAATAGTCGTTTGGTTTTTAAAGACAAGTAGCACAGAGATTTCCTACTAAACGATTTTATCAACCCCTACAATAGTACCAATAAATCTCGTGTATGTCTTGAATATCAAAATAATAATGACAACACTTTGGCAGAAAAATTAAAATCTTTACAACATTTATTATTCAATAGTTTTTCGTTTTCAATATGTTAATTAGTTAATAATTATTATTAGATTTTACTCTTATTACTACTATTTTATTTTTAAAATAGATACCACATTTTCCATTGGTGTTTGCGACACCATTCCAAATTTCATCTTTATGGACAATATGTTTTTACAAAATATGTAATATTTCTCGTGTTTTCTATATTTTCCCTTGTTAATTAATTAAAAATCAAAAAACATGTCTCCAAAAGCAATGTCTTTTGTATACAATGTACTGAAAGATGGACTGTCAATTGGAATTATCAAATTCGTAGACTGTATGGCGGATGTCAAGCCCGCAGCGAATATGGAAACAGCCAAAGCCACATTCAAACCTACCTGCAAAGCCGGCGGAGACGTTGGCGTCAAACCCGTAGACGCGCAACAGTGGCTTTGAATTGGTTAATTTTGCACATTTTTCAGTTTTTTCGTTTGATATCTTCCATTTGTAAGCTTGGTAATTTATTTTTTCCTTGTTTTTATTGGTATTACGCCCATGTTGACTGTATCCATTACTTTTTATATTCATATATTGTAGTTACTTTTTTATACTTCCTGTTAATTCTTACTCTTTCTTGTCCTTTTAATGCGCGGCACTTTCTAAAGCCAATAATGTTTAATATATTATGTTCTTTGATGGTTGTCTATTATTTAATGTAATTGGCAATTTTCATATTTGTACTCGCTTTTAGTCGTTATGTAATTTTTTCTACCACTTTAGTTTGTATTAATTGCTACATGTTGTTTTCCTATTGTAAAATCTTGTTCTCCATAATCGTCAACAACGTCGGCCGCCAGAAATTAGGCTTTCTGGCCAGTCTCAACCGTTGGGTAAGGTGTAAGGTCAACCGTTTCGAATGCGTGCAAGGCCCTTAAAAATGAACTGCTGTCCGGAACTCATAAAGGCCTAGGCTGTACGACGGTCCCATTCGAAGCCACAGACGTCAAACCGACAACCAAAGCGACCGACCGAGGAACGGGTACGGAAACCGAACGCTGTGACCCGCTTCGGCCAATCCACCACCATCGTGGACGCCGAGTATGAAGCCAGGTTAAAAGCCATCGCTATGAGCTTGAGAAAAAGGCCCGGTTATCTGGACATATCCAACGATAAAGAATTTCACTATTCGGGGTTTTAACATACCCTTGTGGCTTGCACCTCCAGACCTATTTGATTCACTGTAGTTATTTATTTGATTCATAATATTATTACTGTCATTTGTTTCTTGTTGATTATTTTGTATAATACTGTACTTGGCATTTTTCCTATTTTTTTATTGTTTTAAAATCGTTTGTTACCATGTTATTCTGTGTAAATGAAAAAAAAAAATGTTCATGATAAATAAAATATGTTCCATTTATTTCTTTAGTATAAGACAGGATATTTAAAAAAAGATAATGCGTACAAATATACATACCTAGTAGTTTTTTGGAAATTTTTCACTGGATCTATGAAAAGTTTAATACATTTTGTTTTGTAAATAATCAAATGATACAACGCAGTAGTAATACTTGCCTATTTTAACACAGATGTGTTGACAAATCCTAAAAAAGTGTATATCTGATTCGACAGTACTGTCAACTTGTGATAAACCTAATCCCAGTATAACCTTAGATTTTCTATGCTATTATACAGCAAGCGCTTTCAAAAACACAAAACATATATTATTAAATCAAATCCGAAGAAGAAATTCCGTTTTTCAGTATACTTAAGCCTAACCTTTATTATTTGTCTTTATTTAATCCATACACACATCAATCGGGCATTTATGGGTACAACGTATATTATGTCTAATATTTTAGCTGTAGAATTGGATTCAGAGTCATTGGCTTCTAGAAGGTTATATAACGACTTAGGTTTTATTCATAAATTAATAAATGGTAAATTATCCTGTCCAGAATTCCTAAGCAAAATAAACTTTAAAATTCCAACCTTTAATTTAAGAAATAATCGCCCGTTCTTAATACCACAATGCTACACAAACTTAATTAAATATAGTCCAAAGTGTTGCATTTAAGATGCATGTGACAATATGTACTTAATTTTGATTTTTCCTTTGATTCCCAACTTAAATTAAAAAATATTATATATTGAATAGTAATTAAGCTTACATGTGTTTATTGTGTATATATTTACTTGTTATTATTTCTATTTGTATATCTAATACCCAAGTTGACGCTGTACATTATTTTGTGAAACTTTTAATAACTGTACTCGTTTAGTAATTAAGCTTACATGTGTTTATTGTGTATATATTTACTTGTTATTATTTCTATTTGTATATCTAATACCCAAGTTGACGCTGTACATTATTTTGTGAAACTTTTAATAACTGTACTCGTTACCCATTTGGGGTGTTAAGACTTTAGATAAACAAACAAATATAATAATAATATGTCTGGCTACTATATTATACAATCAAATGTTGCAAATAAACTAACGGTCGTCACGACGGCCGTTGTTTTTTTGTAACTATTGACTTGTCTAAAATTGTACTGTGTATCGTTTTCATGTTTTATATTTCTCTTGTTCTCTTTATCAAAAATAACCTTTTCTCCTAAAGCAATGTCTTTTTTGTACAATATCTTGAAGAACGGGCTGTCAATTGGCATTATGAAAGTGTTAGATCGTATGGCACCCACCAAGTCCAAAGCCGACCAAGCCGGCGAAGATGCCGCGGACGTGCGACAGGCTCTGGATGGGTTAAATTTTGCATGCCAATTAATTATGGTCTTTGTTCATTTATATCGTTTGATTTCTAGTATTAGTGCACTTCGCAATTTATTATTTTTTATTTTTTCTTGGTATTCCGCCCACGTTGACTGTGTCCGTTATTTTTTATATTCCTCCATTTTGGTAACTTTTTTATATTTCCTAATAATCCTATGTCTTTCTTGTAAATTTATTCCAAAGCCAATAATTTTTTATACTATATGTTTTTTAATGTTTTTCTTTTATGTAATGTATTTTTATATTCTCATATGTTTAATTGCTCTTATTAGTTACGTTATTTTTTCCACCGCATTGGTCTGTTATCATTGTTACAAGCTGTTCTCACATTGTAAAAAATTGTTTCCCGTAAACGCCAACGACGTCGGCCGCCAGAAGTCAGGCTGTCTGGCCACCAGTCTGAACCGCTGGGCACGGTCAACTGTTGCCGGTGCGTACAAAGCCATTATTGACGCACTTCTGTACGAAGCCACCTAGGTCAAACCACCGACCATCGAAGCCCAAAGCGGCGGCGACGACGTTGCCAGCGGCCCGGCCCAGGAACCCGCCGAAACGCGACCGGCCCAAGAACCCGTACGTAGGACACCGATCGTGGCGGTCCGCTTCGACCAAAGCACCGCCACGGGGAACGCCGAATACAGAGCCAGGATCGCGAGGGTAAAGGCCATGACCAAGAGCCTAAGAAGCAAGCAACCGTACCCGGACATGCCCGTCGACAGAGGATTTTATTATTCCGGTTTCTAACGTACCCTTGTGGCTTGCACCTTCTACCTACCCCCCCCCCCCACCATATCTGTTATTTTTACTGTAAATATTTATTTGATTCTACTTAATGTTGTTGCATTTTCTTGCATTTTCAGCCTATCTGTTTAATTTACTGTAAATATTTTTGATCGTTAAAGTTATTGTAATAATTTATTTTTTTAATAATTGTTTTGTAAAATTATTGTGTTTCCTATATTTTGTTTATATTGTTTTCAAATCGTTACCATGTTATGTTGTTGTGTGTAAATAAAAAAATCATTTTTCATGATATAATAAACATTCCATTTCTTTATCGTTGAAAAATACAATAAAAAAGTGTTATACATTAAAATAAATCAGATAAAACAATTTCAAAAAGAAACGATATACCTGATCGTCATTATTTTCTTAGACAGAAATATTATTATATTGTATAATACCTAATATTTTCTTTTTTTCGATATCCAATGCTGATAAACATGATAATATTACAGTTCTAGTATTAATACAATATTAATGTTATAATTAAGTAGCGTCTTTAGCGGGCGATAAAGAAAAATAATATTTTATTTAAAACTATTTCTATAATATTATTATATATTATCGGTACCGTGTTATTCTGCTAATAAATCAAATCGGTAAGAAGTAATAACACTGGAATGCTATTATATTTTTTCAACATAATTCGTAACACATGTAATAAATATGTAACAAAAAACTAGAAACATTGATTTAAGGTAAGAAAAATGTAATTAAAACTCTACCTACCTCTTTTCAAAACGTTTATACATCTTGATAACTACTTAACAA